ACATCCTTGACTGGAGTAGAACCTAGGACCTTTTAGACCACAGGCCAACGCTCTATCCACTGAGCCAAAATGGTTAGGGCTATTTTTTTTATACATATATTTTTATTTCGGAGAGGAAGGGAGAAGGAGAGAGATAGAAACATTAATGAGAAAATCATTAATCAGCTGGCTCCTGTAAACCCCACACTAGGGGATTGGGCCTGAAACCTGGGCATGTATCCTGACCTCCTGGTTCATAGTTTGATGGTTAACCACTGAGCAACACCAGCTGGGCCACATTGTATTATTTTAAATATCAGGTTTTGAACAAAAAATTATGATATACATACAGAAGTAAAAAAGAATGACCCATATGGAAAAAAAAATCAACAGAAATTGTCCCTGAGGAAGTACAGGCATTAGACCTACATAGACAAAAACTTTGAGTCATCTATTTTAAATATGTTCAAAGAACCTTGGGAAACTGTCTAAGGAAATTATGAGAATGATGTCTCTCCAAATAGAGAATATGAAGATAGAGTATTGGTGTGTTGTTTTTTTTTTTCAAGAGCCAAATATAAATTCTGAAGTTGAAGTGAATAGTAACCAAAACAAAACATTCATGAGAGGAACTCAGCAGCAGATTTGAGCAGGCAGAAGAAAGAATCTGGCTAGAGATTAATTGAGATGACCCAGTCTGTGAAACAGAAAAGAGAAAAAAAAATTTTTTTAAATAAATAAAGAAAAATGAACAAAGCCTCAAAGACCTGAGGGACACTAACATCACAGAGTTCCTACAGGAGAGAAGAGAGAGACTATTTGAAGAAATAACAAAGGGATAAAAATAGTGAGAAGGCAATAGTGGAGAGAGAAGAACAGAAAAGATGTAAGGCAAAAATATATAGCAAATGGCAGATGTAAATCCTTCCTTATCAGTAATTTAATGTAAATGTTCCAATTAAAAGGCAGAAATCAGTAGAATGCATCAAAAACATGATCTGACTATATGCTGTCTGTAAGAGCCACACTTGAGATGCAAAGCCACAAATAAGTTGGAAATAAAAGGATGGAGCCCGGGCTGGTATGGCTCAGTTTGGTGTCCCACACACCAAAAGTTTGCCAGTTTGATTCTGGTCAGGGCACATTCCTAGGTTGAGGACTTGATCCAGTAGGGAGCGTGCAGGAGGCAGCTGATCCATGATTTGTTCTCTCTCTCTCTCTCTCTCTCTCTCTCTCTCTCTCTCTCTCTCTCTCTCTCTCTTTCTCTCTCTCAGACACACATACAAAATATCTTGATAAAATAAAAGGATGGAAAAAGAGATGCCCTGTAGGCAGTAGTCAGTAACAAGATAGACCACATTCAGGTAATAAAACAAGTCTTCACAAATTTTAAAAGATTGATAAAACAAAGCATATGCTTTAACCACAGGGATGAATTTAGCCTACTAGGTCTTAGTAAATATTTACTGCATGGAATTTGAAAGACATAAAATATGTCCCTCCTAGTAATTTTTACTGTTTAATCAGCCCTTCTAAACATCTGGGAAACAAAAATTCACAAACATTCTTTTTGTTCTTGCTGTTAATCCTCACCCAAGGATATTTTTCCCCATTGTTTTTTAGAGAGAATGGAAGGGAAGGGGAGAGACGAAGAGAGAGAAACATCAATGTGAGAGAGTCACATCACTTGATTGCTTGCCCCGGACACCTTGACCTGGACTGGGAATCAAACCTGCAATCGAGGTGCATGCCCTTGACCAGAATCGAACCTGCAATCCTTCCAGTCCACAGGCCGATGCTCTAACCCCTGAGAAAAACTGGCCAGGGCCATTTTTTAAACAATACAGTATAATGCTTAGAATTTTAGTAAAGAAGATACATTTAAAAAGTCATAACATGCAGAAATAGAGACCAAATGGAATAACATAACTCACATTTCATCAGCTTCTAACTTTATAATTTTCCTTAGTTTTATAATTTTCCTTGGTTTTAATTTTTGCAAAATTATAACCTCTGGGTAAGTGATTTTTGAAATTAAACAAAATGTGTATGTGTACACAAAAGTAAGACTGTCGGGTAATGCAGAACACTTGTCAAGAAACATCATGACCGAGTTTAACTTTACTCAGAGCTTCCTGGGTTTAGAGTTGAACAGGTTGATAAAACCCTATGAAGGCTTAGCATTTTTAGCCTCCAGTGCTTGGAATAACCGTATTTTTAGCTTGTGCATCTCTCTTATCTAGTAAGGCTAAAGTTAATGCAACAGATAACCTTCTATGGGCTTTGCTTTGTTTTGCATGCCATGCAGGCCATCAAGATATTGCTGAGTGCCCTGGCTGGGTGCCCTGGTTGGTTGAAGTGTCATCCCGTACATCAAGAGGTTGCGAGTTCGATTTCCAGTTAGGGCACATACCTAGGTTGCAGGTACGGTCCCAGGTGAGGACAAGTAAGGGAGGCAACTGATCAATGTCTCTCTCTCTCTCAAAAAACAAAAACAAACAAACAAACAAAAAAAAAAAAAAACAACACAAAAAGCCCAACCAACACATATCCTCGAGTGACAATTTAAAAAGAAAGGATAGCCGAAACCGGTTTGGCTCAGTGGATGGAGCATCGGCCGCGGACTGAAGGGTCCCAGGTTCAATTCTGGTCAGGGGCATGTGCCTTGGTTGCAGGCACATCCCCGGTGGGGGGTGTGCAGGGGGCAGCTAATCGATGGTTCTCTCTCATCAATGTTTCTAGCTCTCTATCCCTCTCTCTTCCTCTGTAAAAAAAATCAATAAAATATATTTTAAAAATAAATAAATAAAAAGAAAGGATATTGTTGAGCTTCTAGTTAAATCTGGAGCCATGATGGATGCAGTTTCAATCAACTCAGTTTTAAGTAGAGTCATTGAGAGCTGTAGACTGGCTACTGTCAAATAATTGATATTGGTGCTAAATTCCAGCTGCTCTGGATGTGGATGTTTGTGTAAGTCCTGGAGACTGGAAGCCACAATGACTATGTGGAGGCGGAGGCTCAGTTAGAAGTAGACTTCCAAGACTTCGGGATGGCTTTTCAGAAGAACAGAGAAAGCTCACGCATTGGAAGCTGCTTTCAAGATATGACTGTGGGGGCTGGTGGAGCAGACCGTCAGGAAGGACAGGCTAAAAACTGATGGAAGGATGTCCAAGTGGAATTTCTTCTTTCCACAAACATTCTGGCATGAGTCATCCGGCTGCCTCACCCATGAGAACTGGGTCAGAGGGATTTTATGCTGTTTATTTCCTGGAAACTGCTCCATCCCTCCCCTTGAGGGACAGCATTTCATAGGAGAAAATGATTGCCTTCTGGAGTCAGATAGTCTGGATGCCAATGTGCATGGTCTCAGGTTAAGTTATTTAGTGTCCTTAAGCCTCTGTTTTCTCATCTGTATTGTGATAATTATACCCACCTCAAAGATTTGTGAGAATTAAATGCGATACCATGTACATACATCTTAATTTCCTACACACCTCAGCTTCTGTCTTCCTCCTCCCTATACAAGCAGCAATGTGATATGAAAAAAGAACAAGTGGGCTCAAGGGGCTTAGAGGAATAGATGTAGGGGAACTAGGAATTAGGATGTGGAGTAAGCAATCCTGAGCGAGAATCCCAGTCCTATTTTATATAAAATTCATGACCCTCGCCTATAAAATGTATAGATATAAGGACTTCTGTCTTGTGGGGTTTAGATAGTCTGGAAGAGATTATAAGGATTTTAGAAACTAACATGTGTGACTTTTCTACCACACAGCATGTGCCCCATAAGTGATATATATTACTTTAGCAGTAGTCTATGACATTGACCTTTTTGTTTTTGCTGTTCACCTTGTCTCCAATGTGAGAGCCAGCTAACTCCTCTGGAACACTTCTTGCCTCCTGTACACCCACTTTCCTACTCCCTGGCCAGAGAGGGGCGGGGGAGGGGAGGGCCAAAACAGAGCTGGAAGAATGGAAATAAATCTAAGCAAACAATTTTTAAAAAGTGTTTAAATTCCAACATTATTGTTATTTGAGTGTATGTGAGAGAAAAACCTCTGTGAAACTGGGATGTCTCCAAACCCTAGTCAAGTTGAACTGGAAGTTTAAAAAAAATAAAATCATGTTATTATCGCGGTGGCATGAAAGGAGTCACCCAGTTAAAGCATGAGCGTGTGACTATGGGCTCCAGCCTTCAGGGATCCAAAGAATGCAAAGCGCAGGACCAGGGAAGAGGAAGGAAGGATTAAAAAAAAAAAAAAAGGAAAAGGGAAAAAGGAAAAGGAAAAGGGGCAGTCGTTTAACGGATCCTACAGTTGTTTCATTTATTTTATTTTATTATTTATTAAATATATTTTATTGATTTTTTTTTTTCACAGAGAGGAATAATCAGTTAGAAACATCTATGGGAGAGAAACATCGATCAGCTGCCTCCTGCACACCCCCCACCGGGGATGTGCCTGCAACCCAGGTACATGCCCTTGACCGAAACCAAACCTGGGACCTTTCAGTCCTCAGCACGACGCTCTACCCACTGAACCAAACCGGTTTCGGCTACAGTTATTTTATTTTATGTTTTTTTAAAAGTCCTGTCCTGATAAGCCCTCCTGGCTCGGGGAGCGCTGGGGAAATCCTCGAAGGAAAGAAGTCGTGGCGAGCGCTCCGGTGCAGGAGCCGGACTAGCTCTGGGCTGGGCTCCGGGCGACCGGGGTTCTCCACCCGACGCCGCGGTTTCTCCATCAGATAAAGGATGGAGAAGCCCCGACCGTGCACACCCCCTACTCCCCAGCGGTCCGCGGCGACCCCAAACCCCCTCTACCCCCCACCCCCCACGCCCCACCCCTTACCCTACACCCCGGCCCCCGAGTGCCGGCCCCGCCCCCCGCCCCACGTGACTTCTGGAAAGGCCTGGGGCCGCCTCCCGCCGCTCAGTTTCATTTCCCGGGCCGCCTCCGGGAGACCGTGCCGCACTCACTCCCGGTCCCCGCACGGCCCGTCCGGCCCCCCGAGCAGCGAGGCCATGGCGGACCTGTCCCTGGCCGAGGAGCTGACGTGCTCCATCTGCCTGGAGCTCTTCAAGGTGCCGGTCACCACGCCGTGCGGCCACAACTTCTGCGGGCCGTGCCTGGACGAGACGTGGGCCACGCAGGGCGCGCCGTTCCAGTGCCCGCAGTGCCGCTCGGCGTTCCCGGCGCGGCCGCAGCTCCGCAAGAACACGGTGCTGTGCACGGTGGTGGAGCAGTTCGCGCAGGCCGAGCTGGCCCGCGCCAAGCCGCCCGACGGCTGGGCGCCGCCCTCCCGCGCCGCCGCGGCCGCCGCCGCCCCCGCCGGCCAGGTGGCCTGCGACCACTGCCTGCGGGCGGCCGCCGTCCAGACGTGCCTCGTGTGCATGGCCTCCTTCTGCCGGGAGCACCTGCGGCCGCACCTCGACAGCCCCGCCTTCAAGGACCACCCGCTGCAGCCGCCCGTCCCGGACCTGCTGCAGCGCAAGTGCCCCCAGCACAACCGGCTCCGCGACTTCTTCTGCCCCGAGCACGGCGAGTGCATCTGCCACATCTGCCTGGTGGAGCACAAGACCTGCTCGCCGGTGCCCCTGAGCCAGGCCAGCGCCGACCTGGAGGTAGGGGGGGTGGCCACAGAGGGGCGGCCTGGTGGGGTTGCCTGCAGGGGGGATGCCCAGGGCATCCCCCTTGGGCATTTCCATCTTCGCTGGGTCACACGGGCTTTGCTGAGCCTGAGGTCTGGGGCAGCAGACACAGGTGATGGTGCCTGCCTTAAGCCTAGTTCAGACCTTGTCTGATGGTGTTAATAGAAGGGGTTGAACCCTCTCAAACAGGAACCCGGGAGGTTTGCCCCTGTTCCCTCATGAAATCCTGGCAACACCCAGGAGGTGGTGTTAGGATTAGTTCCATTTCTCAGTAGAGGAGATGGAGTTCCATGGACGTTAATGTAGCCCGAGGAACACACAGTCAGTGGCCAACCAACAGCGTGCCGACGGTTCTTCCTCAGGTACCAGCCTCCTAACCAGGTCTACAGAGTCCAGGGCATGGGACTGGGTTGAGGTCATGTGAGCGAGAGTCACGGAAGAGCTGGAGAGCTGCAGGGACTGGGGAGGATCCCTGCGAGTGGGAGGGCTTGGATAGGACGCCGCAGACCTGTGGGAGGGAGAGCGGCGCTCTGGCAGCACAGAACCTTCCATTCTGGCGGTGTGACTGGGAGGCAGGATTTGGCCCAGGGGCCTGACTCCTCAGTCAAGTGAGGAGGTGGGGCCAGGTTGACTTCTAAGGGTTTTTCCAGGTTTGGGATGATTTTAGTGGCTTCGGAGGGCCTGTCAGAGGAAAAGGTGTCACCAGACCACCTTCGGTTGTGTCAGTCTAAGCTCCCAAGCGTGCCTCGATGTCCTTTCCTTCTCCCAGCGCTGTCACGGAGAACACGGACTGTCTTCGTGTTGTCCAAGCAGACCCGAGCCTTGGGGAGGTGTTGTAGCGGCACCAGGACCTGGGTGCAGGCTCTCACTGTTTCTCTGGCCACAGCCCTTCCCCCACCTGGCCTGCTCCTCCCAAATCTGAGCTGGGTTCTCAGAAGCTGGACCTCCAGGCCTTGCCGGGGGGAGTTGACCCTCCGAGGCCCAGCCACCTGGGTCTTCTCTGTTCCTCCCGGGAGCCTGCTTGGCCCATATCCGCTGTGGTTTAGGGCAAGTCACTGCAGTTCTCTGTTCTAGGGGACTGGTGGCATTCCGTGGCGGGGAGGCCGCGGAGAGAGGAGAGGAGCTGTGTGGGAAGTGCTTTGTGGGCCAGGTGGCGTGGCTGGTTGACGGGGCTCCAGGCAGAGCTGGATGCGGAGACCGGGGTTTGAATGCTGGCTGCGTCCTAGCCGGGAACCGGTAAAAGGGGATCATGACAGTACTCATCCCAGAAGGTTATCGGGAGGATTAAATGAAGTGGCCTGTCCGCAGTGTGAACGCTCATTTCTGTTACTGCCCCACCCAGCCGGGAGGTGAGCTCGCTGGGCAGAGTGTCAGGTTGCCCAGATCTGTGCCTGGGGAAGGTGCCTGGGCCTGCCCCTAAAGACTGGGGCGGCCGGGCTCCTCCTGGCCAAGGGCCCTTCTAGAAGTTCTTATCTAGGGAGGCAGAAGGCAAGTAGGGGCAGGAGGGGCCCCCCCCCCTTTTAAAAAAATATATTTTATTGATTTTTCACAGAGAGGAAGGGAGAGGGTTAGAGAGCTAGAAACAACGATGAGAAGAGAAACATCAATCAGCTGCCTCCTGCACACCCCCTACTGGGGATGTGCCCACAACCAAGGTACATGCCCTTGACCGGAATCGAACCTGGGACCCTTGATTCCGCAGACCTAAGCTCTATCCACTGAGTAAAACCAGTTACAGCAGGAGGGCCCTTCTTAGTCTGCCTCCGGCCCACCCCTCTCAACTTCCAGGGCCCAGAGCTGGAGTCTGCACCCAGTTTATTTGTATGCCATACACATTTTCATTTAAAAAATATATATATTTATGTTGATTTTTAGAGAGAGGAAGGGAGAGGGATAGAGAGATAGAAACATCAACGAGAGAGGAATATCATCGATCGGCTGCCTCTGACAGGCATCCCTACTGGGGATCAAACCCCCCACTGGGGCATGTGTCCTGACAGGGAATCAAACTGGCGGCCTCTTGGTTCCTGGTCAATGCTCAACTGCTGAACCACACAGCTGGACACGTTTTGCTTTATTTTATTTTAAAAATATTTTTATTGATTTCATAGAGGAAGGGAGAGGGAGAAAGAGATAGAAACATCAATGGTGAGAGAGAATCATTGATTGGCTGCCTTTTATACACCCCCTACTGGGGATTGAGCCCACAACCCAAGCACATGTCCTTGACTGGAATTGAACCCGGGACCCTTCAGTCCGAACGCTGTGGCTCTATCCACTGAGCCAAACCAGTTAGGGCACGGGTTTTGTTTTTGTTTTTTATGATATATTTTATTGATTTTTTTTTTTTTTTTAACAGAGAGGAAGGGAGAGGGATAGGGAGTTCGAAACATCGATGAGAGCCGAAACCGGTTTGGCTCAATGGATAGAGCGTCGGCTTGGGTACTGAAGAGTCCCGGGTTCGATTCCAGTTAAGGGCATGTACCTTGGTTGCAGGCATATCCCCAGTAGGGGGTGTGCAAGAGGCGGCTGATCAATGACTCTCTCTCGTCGATGTTTCTAACTCTCTATCTCTTTCCCTTCCTTTCTATACAAAATCAATAAAAAATATTAGAAAAAAAGATAAAAAAGAAACATCGATGAGAGACAAACATAGATCAGCTGCCTCCTGCACACACCCTACTGGGGATGTGCCTGCAAACAAGGTACATGCCCTTGACCGGAATCGAACCTCGGGCCCTGCAGGCCCTACAGTCCTCAGGCCGATGCTCTATCCACTGAGCCAAACCGGTTAGGGCATGGTTTGCTTTTTGATTCTTGTAATAGGCCTGTCTCCACCACCTTCACTCTCCCCCCATTGTCCTGGCTGAGTCCTTTAACCACGCTCCTTTTTTAAAAATATATTTTATTGGTTTTTCACAGAGAGGAAGGGAGAGGGACAGAGAGTTAGAAACATCGATGAGAGAGACACATCGACCAGCTGCCTCCTGCACACCCCCCACCAGGGATGTGCCCGCAACCAACGTACACGCCCTTGACCGGAATCGAACCTGAGACCCTTCAGTCCGCAGACCGACGCTCTATACACTGAGCCAAACCGGTTTCAGCAACCACGCTCCTTTTCCAGCCCTGCTGCTCTGCTCACTGCTGGTGGCAGAGCCAGCCTAGACAAGGGTAGTGCCACAGCCTTGGGCAACTGGCTTGTCTCCATCACTCAGGCGGGGCGGTCTCAGGATTCCGGTACCTCCCACATGGAGGATCAAGTCCCCAGGCTGCGAAGGGATCCTTAGAATTTCCTTGAATTAGGGAATTGTTGTGACTATTACAGTCCTTGGGCCGATTTCCTTTTGTCTGGAGCGGTGTGGGCCCCTATCCTCCAACAGGGGACTGTTCGGTCTGTTTGATTCCTGGTGGATAAAACCTTTCAAAATACAGAGTTTGGGAGTTCACTACTAAGAGTGGCTCTGGCTCTCAGAGGCGAAACGGTTGGAGGCTTCCCCCCACCCCCCCTCGGTCTAGCCGTTTCTTCCAGCCTGAGACCTGCTGGGCGTGGTCTGCGGGGGCCTGGCCTTCAGCCTTTGGCCCAGTTAGTCTTGGCCACTCTGAGAGGCCAGCTCAAAGGGCATTGTCACAGAGGTCGAGTCTGAAACATCATTAGGGACTGAGGCTTTCGGGTTGAGTTAGTGTGGCCTTGGACTCTTTCAAGGTCAGGTTCAGTCCTGAATATCTCTAGTGGAGTGGGAGAGGCAGGAAAGAGGAAGGGAGGGTCAGAGTGTGTTGAACCAGCTAATTAGGGGAAGTAAAACGTCCCCACCCTTCCCCCCACACCTTCACTCCCCTTCTCCCCCCCCTAGAAATTGTGTGTGCTCCGTTTGGACGCGTGTCTGTAATTGAAACATTAGGATCTTGTAACACAATTTAATAGCGACGTAAGGTCAGTCAAACCACCCACGTAATTACTCTGTGCTTCAGTGGCCTCCTCTGTAGAGGTCAGGTAACTGCAACTTCACCGTTTTGCCCTTAGCTTCAATACAGGCAAAGCACGAGAGCCATGGTCGGCAAACTGCGGCTCCCGAGCCACATGCGGCTCTTTGGCCCCTTGAGTGTGGCTCTTTCCACAAAATACCACAGCCTGGGTGAGTCTATTTTGAAGAAGTGGCATCAGAAGAAGTTGAAGTTTAAAAAACTTGGCTCTCAAAAGAAATATCAATCGTTGTACTGTTGATATTTGGCTCTCTGTTGACTAATGAGTTTGCCTACCACTGGCCTGAAGCAAGTCTTGCAGCAGGCACATAATAAACACTACCTGTGATTGTGACGGCGGTGGTGGCTATTTTGCTCCCCCTTTTTATGCCCCAACATTTCACCTGAGCAGGGGGGTAGGGACTAAGATATTATGAAAGTTTATAGAAACCGGTTTGGCTCAATAGTGTCGGTCTGTGAACTAAAAAGTCCCACGTTGGATTCCGGTCAAGGGCATGTACATTGGTTGCGGGCACATCCACTGTGGGGAGTGTGCAGGAGGCAGCTGGTCGATGTTTCTCATTGATTGTTTCTAGCTCTCTATCCCTCTCCCTTCCTCTCTGTAAAAAATCAATAAAATATATTAAAGAAAGAAAAAAAAGAAATAGTAAGAGGCCTTGGATAATATTATCTTCCTTTGTGTTGCAATTTATCTTTGTTTCCGCTGGTGGCTAGGGGCCTAGCAATTCTGAATCCCCTTAATTCAGTGTCAGGGACTGAGCTGGCCATGGGCTGGCCTATGGCAGGCTTATTCTTTATTCTTAGGGTGTGGCCCTTGCAGGTCCCCACCTGTGGGGTTTACCGAGTGAGCTCTGGATTCTGATTTTGTTCCCATGCCTCCCTGAGCTGACAGGTCCTCCCAGCTGCCTTCTGGAACTGGCAGGTGCCAGGCTTATCTCTGGGGGTTTTTTCCTCCTGGATCTTGGCTCTGTAACCCTCCCCTGTCTGCTTTTCTGGTTGCTTGCCGCGGGGAGGGCTGCTTTGAATGACCTCATCTGCCGTTACTGAAGCTGAGGCAGCTGTCCCAGCTCGCTCTGTCCCTCTTTGTGAGCCTGACCGCCTCGCAGTCTTCCTTGCCGTCGTTTCGTCACCGGTAAAGCGGGTGCTGGGGACACAGGTCATCATCACCCAAGCTGACATGCAGTTTACATCTCACTAGTGGGCTGAGGACTCCTGTTGTTTCTGGGTCGTTCACGTTACTCCCCCAGCCCTGCGAGGCGGGAACAGTTGCATCCCGTTAGTGGCCAAGGAGTCCGAGGTGAGAGGCAGCTGGGAACTGGGACTGGAGCCCTGGCCTGTCTGACTCCAAATCCTGTCTTTACAGCACCGTCTCCCTAAAGGGATGAAGTGGCCGGGACCGGTTTGGCTCAGTGGATAGAGCGTCGGCCTGTGGACTGAAAGGTCCCGGGTTCGATTCCAGTTGAGGGCATGTACCTTGGTTTCGGGCACATACCCGGTAGGGGGTGTGCAAGAGGCAGCTGATCGATGATTCTCTCTTATCGATGTTTCTAGCTCTCTATCCCTCTCTCTTCCTCTCTGTGAAAAATCAATAAAATATATTTAAAAAAAAATAAAAAAAATAAAGGGATGAAGTGAGGTAGTAAATATGAGAATGCTTAAAAGAGCTAACAAGCCGAAACCTGTTTGGCTCAGTGGATAGAGCGTTGGTCTGGGGACTGAAAGGTCCCAGGTTCGATTCCGGTCAAGGGCATGTACCTTGGTTGCGGGCACATCCCCAGTAGGGGGTGTGCAAGAGGCAGCTGGTTGATATTTCTCGCTCTCTATCCCTCTCTCTTCCTCTCTGTAAAAAATCAATAAAATATATTTAAAAAATAAAAGAGCTAACAAGCAGGCAAGACGTGGAGTGGCGGAAACACCGCCTGTGAGAGGCTCAGGGGATGGTTCGGTGTAGGGTGCTGGTGGGGCTGGGCCCAGGGGTTCTCTCACCTGTTTTGTTTTCTCCGCAGGCCAAGCTGAAGTATAAACTGACGATCATGTACGGCCAGATCAACGGTGCAGTGAAGGCGCTGGAGGATGTGAGAGCCAGGCAGAAGGATGTGCGGGTGAGTGACAGGGCTCTCCATCACCAGCCCCAGCCCTGGGCCTCCCTCCGCCTCCAGGCAGGACAGGCTCAGCTGAGATCTCCACGAGGCTTGTGGTGGTTTCATTCGCGGTGTCAGAATTAAACGTCCACCTTGTAAAACATGCCAGAAGCTGTGTGTCCAGGAGAGAGCCTTCACAGACCCAAACAGGAGACTAGCTACAAGCCCAACGTTGGGGGAATCATTAAAAATTCGTGTTGAGCCGGGACCGGTTTGGCTCAGTGGATAGAGCGTCGGCCTGCGGAGTGAAGGGTCCCAGGTTTGATTCCGGTCAAGGGCATGTACTTTGGTTGGCACATCCCCAGTGGGGGGTGTGCAAGAGGCAGCTGATCGATGGTTCTCTCTCACCGATGTTTCTAACTCTCTGTCCCTCTCAATTCCCCTCTCTGTAAAATCAATAAAATATATTAAAAAAAAAAAAATCGTGTTGAGCCCTGACCAGTGTTCTCAGTGGTTAGAGCATCAGCCCACACAACGAAGGGCTGTTGGTTTGATTCCTGGTCCAAGGCACATATGTAGGTTGCCGCTTCGATCCTTGGTCCGGTTGGGGCATGTGTGGGAGGCAACCAACTGATGTGTTTCTCTCAGCCTGATACTAGGGTGAGGATTAACAACAACAATAATAATAAAAATTAGTGTTGAAAACTAGTAATGTAGACAGAGATTATGATTTATTTTTTGTTAATCCTCAACAGAGGATATTTTTCCCATTGCTTTTCAGAGAGAGGGCAAAGGAGAGAGACAGAGGAGAGAGAGAGAAACAATCGACTGGTTGCCTCCTGAATGCCTCCCTCCCACCCACTCCCCCCAGTCGGGGCCAGGGATGGAACCTGCAAGCCAGGGATGCACCCTTGACTGGAAATCTTACCCATGACCCTTCAGTGCATGGGCCAATGCTCTGACCACTGAGCAATGCTGGCCAGGGCGGGATTATGATTTAAGTGGGAGTAAAACAGGGAGCAAAAAAGTGTATGCCCACTGGCGTTGATCGCTGTAAGAAGGGAGTGCCTTTGTTTTTCAGGACTAGTATCACAAATTGCAACAGACTGAGCTTACAGCAGTGGTCCTCAACCTTTCTCATGCCTCGACCCTTTAATGCAGTTCCTCATGTCGTGGTGACCCCCAACCATAAAATTATTTTCGTTGCTACTTCATAACTGTAATTTTGCTACTGTTAATGAATTGTAAGGTAAACACAGATATTTACGTTACAATTCATTACTCCAACCTCTGCCTCTGTCTTCACATGGCCTCTTCCTCCCTTGGTGACTTCTCTTCATTCCCTAACAAGGACATTTGTCATTGGATTTAAGACCCACCCGGCTAATCCAGGATGACCTCATCTCAAGAGTCCTACCTTAATTACATCTGTAAAGAATTTTTTCAAAATAAGAAGTCTAGGAAAAGGATAGTTGTGCAAGTGTTGGAGTGATAGACTCAGGGATAATTTTTTCCCCTTCTAGTTTCCACAATTTTTATAAGGCTGCATTGCGTTTATATCAAAAGAAGATTTGATTTTTATTTATTTATTTTATTCTCATATTTAAAAAATTTTTTTTATGGATTTCAGAGAGGAAGGGAGAGGGAGAGAGAGAAAAAAAATATATTATTGATGAGAGATAACCACCGATTGGCTGCTTCCTGCACGCCTCCTACTGGGAACTGAGCCCGCAACCCGGGCATGCTCCCTTGACTGGAATCAAACCCAGGACTTTACAGTCCACAGGCTGATGCTCTATCCACTGAGCCAAACCAGCCAGGGGGAGGGTTTGATTTTTAAATACCCTGACCTGGAGCTGCAGCATCCAGTGTTATTGTGGCAGCTGTGGTTTGGGGAGACGAGGCCTGGGTAAGAATATCAGCTCTGTTACACATTAGCCTGCGATACGTTGGTCCAGTCGGCAGATCAGTGAGCCTTTGTTTTCCCATCTGCATATTGGAACCATGACTTTCTGAAGGTGGGTGTGAGGCTTAGGTGAAAGGAAGCACATGAAAAAACCTGTATGGGTTTGGGGGGCAGGCTAACCTGCTGTAACAAAGATACCACCAAAATCCAGAGGCTTAAATAAGATAGAAGTTTATTTTGCTCACTGGGATAGTTCAAGGCCGGACACAGCCACCTAGGCTGGTGGGTGTCTCTGCTCCACGTGATCATTCAGGGACTCACGGTCTTTCCTTCCTGTTCCTGGAAGCTGAGTCACCATTCCTTCTCTGTTCTAGCCTGCTAGAACGGCCACAAGCAAGAAGACTGTTGCGTATATCACTTCTGCTCATACACAATTAGGAGCAGCTTAGTCACGTGACCAAGCCTCACCGCAGGGAGGCTGGGAAATGTAGTCTGTGGCTTCGCAGCCATGTGCCCTCCTGAGACTCCAGGGGTGCTCTCTTACTGAGACTGAGCACTGGGGGCCATTCGCGGCCACATTGGAGATGGCAGGGTAAGGGGTTGGATAAAGAAATAACTGAATTTCAGTCTCCCTATATATTCCCCATCTCGTGTACATTTCTGTTTCATGTTGAGTCTGAGCTAGAGCACTGCTGTGCCATGGAAATACAACGTGAGCCTTTTCTGTAACGTCAGATTAATTTTTACGTCGCGAGAAATTCATTTCGATAATATATTTTATTTAACTTAGAACATCCAAAAAAATGATTATTTCAACACAGAGTCAGTGAAGTGTACTAAGGAGATATTTCGCAGTCCTTTTGTACTCACTCTTTGAAAGCCAATGTGCGTTTCACACTCACAGCACATCTTAATTGGGACGTTTCAAGTGCTTTGTAGCCACACCCGGCAAGTGGCTATGGAATTGGCAGTCAGTTCCTGAAGGTGATACTCTCTAGAAATTTTCTAGAGCAGCTTCATATCCTCTCTTTAAAAAAGAAAAATTACCCAGGAGCTGCTCCCCAGCTTAAGAAAAAAAGAAAAAAAAAAAGAAAAATGTCATCGATGCAGCTGAAGCCCTCACTCTACACCCCTCCCTTTTTATATCCCCCTTCCTCCCTTCCGGAAGTAACCACGATCCTGGATTTATTTGCATGGATTTCTTTATACTGCTTTATGTTGGTGTGCCTCCCTTTGGCAATAAACCCTACTGTCCTGTTCGTCTCTAAGCTTTCTGTGAAGAGCTTCCGTACTGTGTGTCTTTTTCTACAAGTTGATTTTCCCTCATGAACTGTATCGAATGTATGAAACGCATCGCCCCACTTCATTAATTCTCAGTGCTGTTTGATCGTCCATCCAGTGTACATGCAGCCTGTATATCCAGCCTCCTCTTGCCAGGGTTCTGCTAATTCAAACAGTGCTGCGTGTGAGTGTTCTCGTGTGCATCTGTGGGGATTTTTCTGGAGTATATTCCTTGAGTCAGCTGTTGGGTCACAGGGTCCGAGCGAATTCAAATGCATTAGAACAGTGGTTCTCAACCTTTCTAATGCCGAGACCTTTTATGATGACCCCCAACCATAAAATCATTTTCGTTGCTACTTCACAACTGTAATTTTGCTACTGTTATGAATCGTAATGTAAATTATTGGTGTTTTCCGATGGTCTTAGGCTCTGCAGCAGCGGTTCTCAGTCTGTGGGTCGCAACCCACAGGTTGAGAACCACTAGCAGGGTCACCTGTTGGTTTTCAAGGAAGGTTGAGAACCCCTGCACTACACATTGCCACATTGCTCTCCAAAGTGGTCGTGCCCCTTTGTGCTCCGCGTGGTCCCACGGGTGTAGCTTTGCCGGCCTGATGGATGTCTTCTTGTCTCGGCATCTTAGGAGGCTGCGCAGAAGAAGATGGACCAGCTTCGACAAGAATACTTGGAAATGAAGGCTCTCCTTGACGCCTCCGAGGCCAGTTCCACGCGGAAAATAAAGGAAGAGGAGAAGAGGGTCAGCAGCAAGTTCGACACCATTTACCAGATCCTCCTCAAGAAGAAGATGGAGATCCAGACTGTGAAGGAGGAGATTGAGGCTGCCCTGACCAAGGGGGGCGAGTTTGAGTTTCTGGAGGTGGGTCTGGATGAGGCCATTGCTGAACACTCTTCCTGCCCCGCCTGACGGTGTTGATTATAGGGGCAACGGGGCCTCAGGGAGTGGGGGTCTGTGAGAGGTCATTGAAAGCATCCCTGACACACAGGCTGTATTCGTTTTATTTGTTATTTTTATTTATTTTTAAAAATATATATTATTGATTTTTTTTACAGAGAGGAAGGGAGAGGGAGAGAGAGTTAGAAACACCGATGAGAGAGAAACATCGACCAGCTGCCTCCTGCACACCCCCTACTGGAGATGTGCCCGCAACCAAGGTACATGCCCTTAACCGGAATCGAACCTGGGATCCTTGAGTCCGCAGGCCGATGCTCTATCCACTGAGCCAAACCGGTTAGGGTGGCTGTATTCGTTTTAGATGCTGTGTGACAACTCACCACGAGCACAGTGGCTCAGATCATACATGAACTGTGTCACACTTCCCGTGGCTCAGGAGGCTGGGTGTGGCTGACGGGGCTGTCTTCTGAGGGTCTCTCACAGGCTGCGTCCCGTTTGGAGCTTCCTTGGTGGTTGGGAAACCTGGTTCCTTACGGTGCAGGACCAAGGTCCCCGCTTTCTTGCTGGCTGTGCGCGCCCAGCTCCTAGAGGCTGCCGCAGTTCCTTGCCACATGGCCCTCTCCCAGCTTGGCAGCTTACTTCAATTTCATGGGAAATTCTCCCTCTAGGAAGGCCCAGTCCCCCTTTTCAGGCCTTTTACCTGATTAAGTGGCCCATCCAAGAGACTCATCTTTTTTTTTTTTTTTTTTTTTTGCATTGCCCTTACCCAGAAGTTTTGACTTCCAGTTAAAGACATTAGTACATTATTAAAATGTTTTTTTTAAGTGTTTTCCCCTAAGGCAGTGGTCGGCAAACTCATTAGTCAACAGAGCGGCAAACCGCAGCTCGTGAGCTGCATGTGACTCTCGAGCCACAGTTTGCTGACCACTGGGTAGGCTGTCGGCTCCATTCAGGGTGGCCCATCCTGTATGGCCACCTTTCTTCCGGACATGTCCAGCCCTTGCAGAATCCTGGCATGCAGTGGGCGTTCTGGTGAGCCTATTGATTGGGTGACGTGCTCCGACCCCTCCTAGGCCCAGCTTCCTTGTTCAGGTCGGGGGAGGGTAAGGAGTGACGGGAGGGTGTTGGTTTCTTCTCGTTCCGGTGTGTTGGAGTAGCTGCCTGGAGCTCTCTGAGAAGGGTTCTGAATCCACATTTGGGCCTCTTGATACCCTGTGACCTGACTCTTCTCTCAAAGTTTGGGACAGCCCGGAAGTCCCTTCCTTTTCATCCGATGTGCCCTCGCTGAGTCCTGCACCTTGAGACCTCCCTGTCCATCCCAGAACCTGTGTTCACAGCTGGTCCTGAGTCTCCCCCACTGGCCCAGCCACCGCTGGAGAAGTGGAGGGAGCATTTTCCATGGCCGTCAGGGGACCTGGGTCCCAGCTTTGCCACTGATTGGCAGAGTTCCTGGCAGGTCACGTGTCACCTCTAGACTTCCATTTCCCCATCTGTCAGGGGAGCAACTTCTCAGGGCCCTTCCAGTTCCAGAGCACTGTCTTAAAAGTGGCACTTGAACGCCCAGCGACCTCAGGCCTATAACTGGGAAGGCTGATGGGACTCCCCCCTGCGGGGTGGGTGGGGGTGGGCGCAGGGCAGCTCCCCCTGGGGTTCTGGAGGCTGAGCCCAGGGCCTGGCTTCCCGGAGCCACCTGCGCTGACCCCCTGGCTTGTTCCAGAAAGCGGCAAAACTGCAGGCTGTCTCAACGAAGCCAGTCTACGTCCCCAAGGTGGAGCTGAATCAAGAGCTGATAAAGGGCGTTTACCAGAGCACCGTGGACCTCAAAAACGACCTGAAGCTCTGCCTCAGGAAGTCCGAGGAGCCCATCACCTCAGGTAACCATCAGCTCCCGCCCCCCTCGGAGCCCCACGGAGACCCCTGAATCTGGATGGGTCCCCTCGGCATTTTGGGGTACAAGAGAGGGCCTTGATCCCGAGCATTGGGGCTTAGTTTCAGGGGGCCTGCCACGAAGACTCCCAGTACCTCCTCAGGGAGGGCTTGGTCCCATGGAGGAGCATAATCTGTGGATGAATTAGCCACCCCTGCTACCTCCGTGGTGCCTGGTCTGGTGAGAGGGAGGGGCGGAAACCCAGAGGGAAGGAGCTTCAGGCACCTCCGTGTCATCACGATGAGCAGGGCCTCCTGCTGTGCGCTGGCAGACGCTACAGCTCAGAGAGGGGCCAGAGGTCACAGAGCTGGGTGCTGGTGGGAAAAGACTGGACCCCAGCTACATGTGAAGCCAGAGGAAAGAGGGGACGCCCCAGACTGGTCCTCCTATGACCCGTCTTCCAGCTCTTGTAAAGGATGGGAGGCGAGAGGGGATGGGATGTGGGGGTTGCTGTCTTTGTAAACCCGCTGCCGCCCACCTGTGGCAAAGCTGGCTTTTGGGGTGTTTTGGAGGAGCCCCAATCAACGAGCATCTTCTTTGTTGGTACAGGGGAGCCTGCAGAGCACGCCACAGCGCCCACACCAAAGCCCACACGCCCTGTGAAGAAGGCCCCGAGTAAGTAGCCCCACGTCCCTGTGGCAGCAGCACGGCTGTGGCTGGCGGGGCCGGCTGGGACAGTCGCTGGTGTCGCTGCTCCCGGCCGATGGGCACAGCCCCTCACAAATCACTGAGTGCTGGGAGGGGCTGTGTGTGCCATCTGACCCGTGAGCAGTGGATATTCGAGTGGCCTGGAATAGGAGCTCTGGAGTGGGGCCCGAGAATGTGCATTTCCTATGGGCTACCCGGGAGGCTGCTGCTGCTGGCTGGGCCAACACTCGGAGGACCGCTGTTTTCGCTAAGTCTGTTTCCTTAGGCACACGTTCCAGGTGGTTCTTAAGGACTGTTGCGATACTTGGCCAGCATATTGTTTTTTGCTGACTCTAGTTTTGCTTTTTGCATTTTTCCTTTTACGGAGATACAATTTACATCCAGTAAAATGCGCAGATCTTAAATACAGTAAGATGAATCTTGACCAGTGAATTCGTGTGTGGTACTGTGACCCACATCAAGATAAAGTATTTCCATTACCCCGGAAAATTCCATCATGCTCTTTAAGCGGCAGACCCTCCCCCACACCAACCACCATGGAATTATTCACCTGTTATCTTTGTCAAGTTAAAATATCCTAGCTTTATCAGGATGGGTCACATTCATGCAAATGAATGTTAGTCTTTTGAAAGTGTCATTGTGTTGTGCTTTACAATGCCTTAATTCTGGAATTTTTTTTTTTTTTTCCCCCAGAAGAAGAAAAGAAACCCAAGAAAGTTCGTAAGTTATGCGTTTCTGCTCTGTTTCCTTCTTTTTTAAAAGTAAACTTTCTAAACCAAAACACAAGGGGTTCAGTCTTTTTAAAAAATATATATTTTATTGAATTTTTTTTTTTTTTACAGAGAGAAAGGGAGAGGGATAGAGAGTTAAAAACATCGATGAGAGAGAAACATTAATTAGCTGCCTCCTGCATACCCCCCACTGGGGATGTTCCGCAACCAAGGTACATGTTCTTGTCCAGAATCAAACCTGGGAACCTTGAGTCCGCAGGCCGATGCTCTGTCCACTGAGCTAAGCCGGCTAGGGCTTCTTTTCTTTCTTTCTTTCTTTTTTTTTTTTTTAAATAAATCTTTATTGTTGAAAGTATTACATATGTCCCTTTTCTTCCCCCATTACCCTCTCACCCCTCCCCAAGCCTTCACCATTTTTAAGTTTTTAAAAAATATATATTTTTATTGATTTCATAGAGGAAGGGAGAGAGAGAGGTATCAATGATGAAAGAGAATCATCAGTCAGTTACCTCTTGCACGCCTCCCACTCGGGATTGAGCCTGCAATCTGGGCATGTGCCCTGACAGGGAATCTAACTGCAGCTCATAGGTGGACACTCAGCCATTGGGCCACACTGGCTGGGCAGAAGTGACTCTTGAAAATCAGCTTAGAAGGGAGTAGAGGCCTTCAGGTCACTCTGTGCCATGTCCCCAACATATGTTCCTCCTTCCTCATCCCCAGCCGCTGCTGCTGTCTCACCCAGCAAGCTTCCCACCTTTGAGTCCTCGGAGCAGTTAGTGGATTTAAAACAAGCTGGCTCGGAGGGTGAGTTCTTGTGGACAAGGGGCAGTGGGAAGTCTACTATGAATTTGTTCTGAAAATGGCTCTCTGTTTCCTCACCCAGCTGCAGCCAAACCCACCACAGCGCAGCCAAACTCAGCGGCTCTCAAGGCCAAGGTGCTGGAGAACTTCTTAGCCAAGTCCAGACCTGAGCTCCTGGCGTGTGAGTAGTACCTGCCGGCAGTGGCTGTTGCCGGCAGTGGCTGTTGCCGGAACCCCACCGGTCCCACTGCCAGCTCTCGCCTCTGATTTTCCTTTTGACTCCCTGCCATTCCAAAGCCTTGCCATGTGCCGTAACTTCTCCCTCTCCCACCCAGCTTCTGCCTCACAGAGAAGAGAGGCGCTCAGAAGGGGCCTCCCTCATCCTCTCACTGCCATCTCACTTGACTCCATATTCTTTCTCCTTTCTCTATTCACTTCCTCAAGGCCCGTTCCTCGGCCAGGACTCTGGATCTTACCCCTCTTGCTCTCTCCAGAACTTGATGTTCTCAGTTAGACCTCAGTGATGGATGGATGGATGGATGGATGGATGGATGGATGGATGGATGGATGGGTGGATGGAAGGATGGATGGACAGATGGATAAATGGATGGATGTGTGGCTATCTGGGTGAATGGATGGATGGATGGATGGGTGGGTGGGTGCATGGATGGATACATTAGTAAATAGATGGATAGATGGGTAGATGGGTGGATTTGGGAATGAATAAAACAAATGAATACTACTACCAGTTTGAGGAAAGGTTTAAAAGTGAGAGCACCTGGGCCCCTTGGAACTGATTGCTTGGGGTGATGCTCTTGTAGATGCCGTTAAGGTCATCCTGGACTACAACACGGCCTACAGCAAGGTGGCTCTTTCGGAGAACTACACTGTGGCCTCTGTGGCCGAAACACCCCAGACGTACCGGCCACATCCCCAGAGGTTCACCTACTGTTCTCAGGTGCTGGGCCTGCACTGCTACAAGAAAGGGATCCACTACTGGGAGGTGGAGCTGCAGAAGAACAACTTCTGCGGGATGGGCGTCTGCTACGGCAGCATGGCGCGGCAGGGCCCCGAGAGCCGGCTCGGCCGCAACAGCGCCTCCTGGTGCGTGGAGTGGTTCAACACCAAGATCTCCGCCTGGCACAACAACGTGGAGAAAGTCCTGCCCACCACCAAGGCCACGCGGGTTGGCGTGCTTCTCAACTGCGACCACGGCTTCGTCATTTTCTTTGCTGTTGCTGGCGACAAGATCCACCTGATGTACAAGTACAAGGAGGACTTTACGGAAGCTCTGTACCCGGCCTTCTGGGTGTTCTCTGTAGGCGCCACGCTCTCCATCTGCTCCAACAATTAGGCAGGCCCTGGACACTCTGGCCGACTGCCCGGGGGGTGCCCAGGACTCCAGTGAAAAGGCTGCAGAGTGGAGTCTTGGAGATCTTCCCTGACAGTCCCCGGGGTTGCCAGGATGGGAGGGGAGTTGGTGGGAGGTAAGAGGGTGGGGAGATGGGATAAGGGAGGAACTGGGCCAGGGAAAGGCGTGGGGGTGATTGTCTTGGGAACAAGGAAGCGTTTCTACGTCCTGTTGCCCCTCAAGGCAGGCTCGCCCCTCCCCTGGTTCTGGTCTATCCCCAGGCTGCTGGGTGGCTGGACAGGGCTTTGGGGGTAAAATCCTCAGAGCCCCTTTCCTTTCGGAGAACAGCTCAGGCCACTGCAGTCCTTTTTCGGGCCCCTTGGTGGATGCCTCTAGGCTGCCTTCTGATCTTGGTATTTTGATTACTCTTTAGGGTTACTGAACTGTCTAGTGCAGCGACTTTCAATCTTTTTCATCTCATGGCACATAAGCTAATTGCTAAAACTCTGCCGCCCACCAAAAAAATATTTTTTTGCCAATCTGTCCAAAAAAAAAAAGGATATAATTTTAATTCATTCACACCGAACAGTTACTGTTCTATTGGCTGCTGTCATTTTTTTAATTTGACAATCTCAGGGAAAGAGGTCTGTGCTCCTGACTAAATAGTCAGGTATTGCAAGGTTTTAAAAAGTCTCGTGGCACAGCAGTGTGCTGCAGCACGCCTGTTGGAAATCGCTGTAGTAGATTGAAAAAAAAAATTCCAATATTATTCACCCTCCTTTCCCGCCAGTACCCACAGGTGAGGACTGGGGGTGAACGCTCAGGTTCCTGGTTATATTTTGTGCTTGAGGGCAGGTCTCCACCCAGGACCAGAGTTTCCCCCCAAAAGTGGTCTCCTTCCTCCACTGGACAACAGCCTCACCTCCCTTCCTGTTCATGTTGCCCCTTTGAGATGTTTTAAATGTTTACTCCCAACAGGAACCTTTTCTGTCTCCAACCATGATCTGAATCAGCTGATGTTGAATTTTTTTTTCTCCGTTTTTTTTTTTTTTTTTTTTTTTTTAATCCTCACCCAAAGACATGCTTTGAGAAAGGAAGAGAGAAAGACATATCCATGTTAGAGAGAAAAATCGATTGGTTGCCTTCCATAATGTGCCCCAACCTGGGACTGAACCCACAACCCAGGTTGTGTGGCCTGACTGGGAATCGAACTGGCCACCTGTTGGTGCACGGGACCACACTCGACCGACTGAGCCGCTCCGGCTGGGCCTACGTTATAGAATTTCTAATTCAAGGTCAAGGTGACCCAGGTGCCGTGTGAATAGAAACCTCTCCCAGTCCCAGGTATGAGAGGCATCTCATGGCTGTAGCCACAGAACTTCGGAGGCCTTCTCCCCACAGCCGAGGCTTTGAGGCAGGGATTCCTGACATCCTTGCTAGAAGTGTGTGGCTTTGGTCTTGTGAGAGTATCTTGCCTTCTTATGGGTACCTCTCCTTGGGATAGCTGCCTCTTCCCAGGACTGCGGGATACAGAGCTGGCATAGTTGAGCAGCTAGCTAAGCCCTATCTGAAACCTGTTCTCACAGGAGAGGTTGTATGTAGCTGCCTCAGGGACCTTATTAGCTCATCTGGGGTGACTACCTACAGCTGGGATGATCTTCTAGCAGATCCCATGGGGAACCGCAACTTCCTGTTCATCCCGGCCACAGGCTGCTGCCCGCCGTGGGCTCTTGCATGAGTCAGAGGCCTGTCGCTGGCCCTCGCCCCTTTCGATGTCTTCTTCCTTTGAGCCGATCCTAGATGTGGGCACGGACCAGGCTAGGGCTCAGGAAGACGGTAAGGGTCCGCGAGGGAACGAGCTGCAGATTCTAGCACGAGGGGCTGTTTGGCTGCAGTGTTTCTGTGCGGTCCACGAAGGGGCTGGAGGGAATGGCTGGCTGGAACTTCTCTACGTCCTCATGTCAGGATGTGAGTGGGAGGAATTTCACTCCTCGTGGTGAAATAAGTCCTGCTTTGGGGTTGCCCGACAGAAGAGCTTAGGTCAGGCTCTTTGGGTAAGGTGATTACACAAAGATTTTTTAACCATTTGTCCCGCGTCCCGCGGCTTTTTAAAAAGAGGAAAAATCGGGACTATTTTAAAACGCTGTGGGACGCGGGACAAATGGTTAAAAATCGGGATATCTGGTCACCTTATCTTTGTGGTATGAAAAAGCAGTCACCATTAGGGTCTGGGGACCCCAAGCCTTTGCGTGTGGCTATTTGAGAAGGTAAAGCCTCTCTGGCCTTGTGCTGGCACTTCCTCGTCAGGCCCAGAGCACGGGGTGTTCATGACAGAAGTGTGCATCTGTGTCACCTCCCACCACGGACTGTCACTTCCTTGGGGGAAGAGACCGTCTCTGTAGGGGAGGCTTCCCTGCAGTAGCTGACATGTGGGTATCCAAGGTTTTCTTCCCTTGCTACCGGGAAGAAAGGTTCTCTGATGATTCTTCTCTGTTCCCGGAGATGGCCAAACGCATCCTCATTGGCCTTCTGAAACCGTAGCCTTGTCTGGAGCCAAGTCGTACTCGGGGATCAGCGGGGCTGAGAGGAGAATGCCCAGGATGAACCCAGGGTCCTCCTGTGGCTCCCGCCCGCAGAAAGGAGGGCCACAGAGAGGGCTTTCCCCGGCCATTGACAGGGGAAGGATAGGGAAGCACACGTCCCTCTGGTTATAAGAGAGGCAAGTAGGTAACCCAAGCTCTGGGCAAGGTGCTTTGGAGATGTGAGTGAGGCGCACACCTCGCCATCTCCAACCTTCCATTCCCTCGCCTTGTGGGGCTACTGCCTGACCCTGGAGTCCCAGGGTTGGAGGAACCTTTGCATTCATCTGACTTCTCGCTTTGCAGAGTAAGTCAAATGGGGAGGTATGGGTGACGCTTACTGTTCTCGCCAACCCATCCCGGAGGAGATGCCTCTTGCCCGCGTCCTGGCACCCCAGGGAAGTGTCAGAAATTTCCAGAGACACAAACGTAAAAAATACATCCCAGACGTGGGTGTCAGGGACTGTCTCGGTCACCCTGGCATGATAAAGCAAAGGTGTCAGGGTCAAGTTTCTGTACTCTTCAAGACCGGTTGGCTAGTTCCTCCTATCTTAAAGACTCTGAAATAGATAATGGATAGGTGACCGCTTAGCTTATGCTGACCCTCATTGATTTTTTTTTTTTGTTAATCGCAAGTACCTGAGCTGTTATTTCTTGAGCTTATTTTATTTTAGCTTTGATTCTTTACGAGATCATCAGGGCTATAGGCATGGGTCTTTGGAAACTTGCAAGAAATATGAGGACCATCGCTGGCTGACTTGCCTTAGAAGCTTGGGATGTAGGAAACGGGTGTTTGGTGTTCTTTTTTGCAGCTCTGTGTGTGTGTGTAGACAGGGTAACCTATCACAGTGGGGCGAGCGAATGAGGTGCCCAGGGGCCTCTGTCACCCAGACCCCACCCTGCTGCTCCCAGATGTTGAGATGTCAGCAGACCTATAGCCCATTTGAGACTGGCTGTGGGTGAGAATTCCTGATAGGATATCCCTCTGGGCTTTGCTTCAGGATAACCCGAGGATGGGTGTAGGGAGAAGGGGTGGGGTATGAACGGAAGGGTGAGCCACAAGCCGGTAATCAATGAAACGGTTTTACGGGATGGGATAGTTCATTAAGATATTCTTTCCACTGTTGCATATTTTGAAAATTTTCATGATAAAAAATTTTAAGAATGAAATAAAGCATAGCTCAGGCCAGTGATAGGCCCTGTCGGGTGATTTTATCCTAGTTCGCAGGGATATGAGTTGTGGGTTTGAGGTTGTTATATCAAGTCATCCCCTCTTATCTGTGGGGTATGTACATACTTATGATAAAGTTTCATTTATAAAATTAGGCACAGTAAGGGATTAGCAATAATAACATAATGAAAGAGGCCAGTTATAACAATATTCTGTAATGAAAGTTATATGAATGTGCTTTCCCTCTCTCTTTCTCAAGTATCTATCTGATAACCAATCTGGTAACTGAGAAGGCTACTAAGTGATGAAGAAATGGCTTACCTACCCAGGTGGGATGGGGTGGGACTTCATCATGCTACTCAGAACTGTGCACAATGTAATACTTATGAATTGGTTGTTTCTGGAATTTTCCATTTAATATTTTCAGACCACCACTGACCATGGGTAACTGAAGCTGTGGAAGTGAAACCATGGAGAAGGGGAGACTATTATAATAAAGAATTTGGCCTTTGTCCCTGGTTTCCAGAGGGGAAATTCTGAATCCTTGGCATTTCCCCAGGAAGAGGTGTAGGATCCCTCGTGGTTCAGGGTTCCGGTTCTGGGTTCGGGTTCTGGAGAAGGCCGCACACAAATGAAAGAGACTAGAAAGTTATTAATTTGGGAACTGGGGGGCCAGGCGGGAGCCTACCTCTATGGGGAGGACTACTACTCTGTTTCCCCGAAAATAAGACAGTGTCTTATATTAATTTTTTCTCCCAAAGTTGCTTTAGGTCTTATTTTCAGGGGATGGCTTATCTTTCCATGCGCTAGGTCTTATTTTCAGAGGATGTCTTATTTTCGGGGAAACATGGTACCTAGCTTTGGCCTTGCTATCCTTTTTATTTAGGTTATAAGATACACCCATGTCCTTTAGGCAGGAAATTCCAATAATAGCCAATCAGCAAGAATTTACATAAGAGGAAAAGGTGGAGGCTGCTTTAACTAAACAAGTGTCTCAACTGAACAATGAGTGATTAGCTCCAACCTTTCAGAGCAATTAAGGTTGACCAGCCTTTCTTTTTATTAGTAACAATGATTGTGGTTTCCAGCAAACAGGAGTGTTTGTCATCCACGAGCCCCTTGGGTCACCCTGCGTTTATGCTAGTTGAGATGACCCAGGATGGGGCCTGGTCATCAGAAAGGCCAACCATGAGTTTAGAAGGTTGGGTCTTGGAGCCAGCCTGACCTCCACGAGGCGAGAGGGCCAGGAAATGAATTCAATCAGTTATGCCTTTGTAATGAAACTCCAAAAAAACCCTCTGGACACTGAAGCTCTGCTGAACACAGCCATGCATCCCGATTCCACGGCCGTGGGGAGGGGGGAGGGTTCAGAAGCTCTGAACTTGGGTCCCTCCGAGACGTCACTCTGGGTCTCTTCCTTTGGCTGGTCTTGATTTGTATTGTTGATAAGCAAACTAATTGTTAAGTGGAGCCCTTTTCTGAGCTCTGTGAGTCCCAGTGAATCATCGAACCTGAAGGGGGTTGTGTGCTATATACGGGATGCTTGTGTAGCCCCAAGAGCCAGATGTTGAAACCTAACCCCCAATGTGATGGAAATGGAGGTGATTAGGTCCTGAGGGTGGAGCCCTCTTGGCTGGGATTAGTGCCCTTCATACAAGAGCCCGCAGAGCCCCCTTGTCCCTTTTGCTGTGCGAGAACACAGGAAGACACCAGATACAAAACCTGCCAGCGCTTGCAGCTTGGGTTTCCAGCCTCCAGAACTGTGAGAAATAAATGTTTGTTGTGTAAGCCACCCAGTGTATGGTGTTTCTGTGATAGCAGCCTGGACCAAGACGTCATGGGGACCTTCTGGGTTTGTGGCCAGTCGGTCAGCAGTGCGGGCGGCCTGGAGACCACTGAAGTGCGGCTGGTGTCTGAAGTGAAGACAGTCTTGTTGGGACTATGACCGTCAGCCTGTGGAGCCTGCCTCCGGGCCCAGGAGGTTCAGGATGGGGCGGGGTGGGATGGGGATGGGGGACTTGCCACCTTGAATAGGTCCTTCGTGGCCCACCTGTCAGAATAAAACACTGTTCTTCAAAGGAGCTTTCCGTGTTTTCTCTCCCGTGTCAAGTCCCCAGGGTTCTGTTCCCTTCCACCCACACCACTGGCAGTTGTTTCTCCCTCACTGTCCCTGTATCCACAAACATACTTGGTATGTCAGTTATAGGCCGGCCTTCCCACTCAGAGATTCCACTTAAATTGTCATGGGTTATTCTTCCGTTCCAACAAAAAGCTCAGGACAGGAACTGGGACTCCTCAGTAGAAGTAGCAAAGCTGCGAGTGCAGGTGCGTCTGAGGGGCTAATCGTTTCTGCTGTTGCCGATCCTTTCTTCCATTGCTTTTTAGAGAGAGTGGAAGGGAGGGAGGGGGAGAAAGAGAAAGAAACGAATGTGAGAGAGACGGCAGTTTGTTGTCCCCATACCTGCTTTGACGCAGGCCAGGAATCGAACCTGCAACCCAGGAACGTGCCCTTGACTGGGAATCCAACCCATGACTCTTCAGAGCTGGAGTCAACACACTCAGCAAGGAACAACACTGGCCAGGGCAATGAGGGGCTATTTTTTTTTTTTTTAATGTTATTGATTTCAGGGAGAAAGGAAAAGGGAGACTCATTAATTGGATGCCTCCTACTGGGGATTGAGCCCACAACCTGGGTATGTGCCCTGACCTGGAATCGAACCAGGATCTGGTTCATAGGTTGATGCTCAACCACTGCGCCACACTGGCTGGGCATACTGTGGAACGATCTTAATTACTATAAGCAGACTCTTAAAAAGGCAGGTCTAGCCCTGGCCGGTTTGGCCCAGTGGATAGAACGTCATCCTGTGGACTTAGAGGCCTCAGGTTCGATTCTGGTCAAGGACACAGGCCCAGGTTGTGGTCTCGATCCCCAGTGGGGGCATGCAGGAGGCAGCCGATCAATGATTCCCTCTCATCATGGATGATCCTATCTCTCCCTTTTCCTTACTCTCTGAAATCAGTAAAAATATATATATTTAAAAAAGCAGGACTCAGAGGTCGGGTAGACACAAATGTGATAGGATTCTAGGTCCCTTTCAGGTGACTGCCTCTATAGGGATTCCTCAGGAGGTTTATGACCTAGCACTTTATCTATGGATGGAAGGTGAGTCTAAGATGTGAGAAGGTGCTTCACTGCTAACTTGCTCTCACACACCATTTTCTTTTTCTTTTAAAAAATATATTGATTTTTTACAGAGAGGAAGAGACAGGGATAGAGAGTTAGAAACATCGATGACAGAGAATCATCAATCAGCTGCCTCTTGCACATCCCCCACTGGGGATGTGCCCACAACCAAGTACATGCCCTTGACTGGAATCGAACCTGGGACCTTTTTTTTTTTTTTTTTTTTTTTTTTTTTTTAAATATATTTTATTTGATTTTGTACAGAGAGGAAGGGAGAGAGATAGAGAGTTAGAAACATGGATGAGAGAGAGTCATCGACCAGCTGCCTCTTGCACACCCCCCACCAGGGATATGCCCGCAACCAAGGTACATGCCCTTGACCGGAATCGAACCCGGGTCCTCCAGTCCCCAAGCCGACGCTCTATCCACTGAGCCAAACCGGTTTTGGCTCACACACCATTTTCAAATGTTGTTTCCAGTGATGTGTCCAGGTTTCCATTGCACCGGCTTAGCAAAGCATCGGTGAAGACCCCTTTGTACTCATCTCACCTGTCTTCCCTGAGTGTCCCATGGCCTTGAAGGGTCCCCATGCCAACTCCGCTTTCTCAGAGGTGTCTCCATGAAAGGGAGGTTTCTCACTCTTGTACCCTGGCCCGTGGCTTCTTCTCACTGGGCCCTGGCAGCGTACCACTGTGCCCACACTCAGGGTGGCCCAGCCTTGACACCAGTTCTTCCCAGTAGGCCTTGCCCAGTGGACAGATGACCAGGCGTCCGAATGCTCTGTCCGTGTTTGCTCACCACCAGGATCCACCCCTTGCTGGCTGGACTGGCCCGCTCTGGGACTGGACCTCTGTGTTTTATTTATTTTTTTCATTAAAAAAATATATTTTAGCCGGGGCCGGTTTGGCTCAGTGGTAGAGCGTCGGTCTGCGGACTGAAGGGTCCCGGGTTTGATTCCAGTCAAGGGCATGTGCATTGGTTGCGGGCGCATCCCTGGTAGGGGGTGTGCAAGAGGCAGCTGGTCGATGTTTCTCATCGACGTTTCTAGCTCTCTGTCCCTCTCTCCTCCTCTCTGTAAAAAATCAATAAAATACAGAGAGGAAGAGAGAGAGATAGAGAGTTAGAAACATCGATGAGAGAGAAACATTGATCAGTTGTCTCTTGCACACCCGCTACTGAGGAGGTGCCTGCAATCAAGGTACATGCCCTTGACCGCAATCGAACCAGGGACCTTTCAGTCCGCAGACCGACGCTCTATCCACTGAGCCAAACCGGTTTTGGCATGGACCTCAGTGTTTTAGAAGCCTCAGTGGCTGGAAGCAGGGTCAGAAGGTCTATCCTAAAATCACCTGAAAAACAGGTCCAATGGCAAAGAGTGGAATCCTAGACATTTTCTTCTGGGCAGATACTCCCCTTGTCTGAGGCCAGAGAGTCTGGGTGAACTCGGATCATCGATGAAATAATCTAAGTGCAAACACGTCAGACTGGGCTGCTCAGTGGTTATCAAATGTGTGGGCATGGAGTTGTTCATCGTCTTCCATTGTTTATTGATTTATTTTTAATATATTTTTATTGATTTCAGAGACGAAGGAAGAGGGAGAGAGAGATAAAAACATCAATGATGAGAGAGAATCATTGATTGGCTGCCTCCTGCACCCGAGGGAAGGAACCCTTGATTGGGATCAAACCTGGGACCCTTCAGTCCAAAGGCTGACACTGGATCCTCCGAGCCAAACCGGATAGGGCCAGTGTTTACATTTTAAAGTCCACGGGATCAGTGGTGATGTCTCTGCTTTCATTTTTGATGTTAGTTATTTGTGTCCTCTCTCTTTTCCCCCCCCTTAGGTTAGCTAGGGTTTAATGGATTTTATTTATTTATTTATTTATTTATTTATTTTGAAGAATTGGTTTTTGAATTCACTGATTTTCTCCATTGATTTCCTGTTTTTCAAATTCACTGATTTCTGCGCTGCTCCTTAGTGCTGCTTTTCTTTTGCTCCTTTTGGATTTAATTGGCCTCCTTTTACTAGTTCCCTAAAGTGGGCCCTTAGGTTATTGATTTTAGATCTTCCTTCTCTCTTTTCTTTCTTCTCTTTTAATATATGCATTCAATGCTATACATTTTCCTCTAAGCTCTGTTTTCACTGTATCCCACAATTTTTCAAAAAATGTTTTTAACTGATTTTTTTTTTAAGAGAGAGAGGAAGGCAGGAGAGAGAGAGAGAGAGAGAGAGAGAGAGAGAGAGAGAGAGAGAGAGAAACATTTTGCCTCCCACACCCACCCCGACCAGGGATCAAACCAGTAAGCTGGGCATGTACCCTGATCAGGAATCAAAAGGGCAACCTGTACCTCTTGGTACATGGGATGACACTCAGTCAACTGAGCCACACTGGCCAGGGCCACACATTTTGATAAGTTGTATTTTCACTTTAATTTAGTTTAAAATATTTAAAAATTTCTCTGGAGAATTCTCTTGACTCATGTGTTCTTTTGAATGATGCTGTTAAATCTCCACATTTTTTTGGGGTGGTGGTGGTGGTGGTTTCAGTTATCTTTCTGTTACTGATTTCTAGTTTAAGTCTACTGTAGTCCGAGAGCAGCCGTTGTATGATTTCTGTTAAATTTGTTAAGGTGGCCCTAGCCAGCTTGCTCAGTGGTTAGAGCATTGGCCCTAGGACCGAAGGGTCGAAGTTCGATTCCCAATCAAGGACACATAGCTGGGTTGTGGGTTTGATCCCCTCTCTCCCGGTAGCGATGAGTGTGGGAGGCAACCAGTTGATGAGTCTCTCACATTGATGTTTCTCTCTTTCTTTCTCTCTCTCTCTCTCTCTCTCTCTCTCTCTCTCTCTCTCTCTGAAAAAAAATAATGGAAAAAATATCCTCTGGTGAGGATTAACAACAACAACTGGTTAAGGTGTGTTCTCTGGCTGGAATGTGGTCTATGGTGAATGTTTCACATGTGTTTGCTGCTGTTGGAGGAAGCATCTTTAGATGTTTGGTTCTGAGGTTTGCTCTGTCCTTGTCTGGGGTTTCCTGCCTGTTGGTAAGCCTTGTACTTTCTCTTGCTAGTAGAGGTGACAGGCTGGGCCGAAGGAACTGCTGTCCGTAGGCCTTGGTCGTGTGGCTGGGAGGTTGGGGTGGGGGTGGGGGAGGTCAGGGAGTGCCCTGTAGCCCTGGGATTAGTCCTCAGGCTTTAAGTCTCCATGCTTGAGTGTAGCTTTCCCAGCATTTCTCGGCTTTCCCCTTTCCTCCCCCAAGTGGGACAGGAAGGCTGGGATGGGCTGGCATCAGGCATTCCTTTACCCGGGTCCCTTGGGCTCTGATAAAAAGCCAGCCAAAACCTGTTTGGCTCAGTGGATAGAGTGTTGGTCTACGGACTGAAAGGTCCCAGGTTCCAGTCAGGAGCATGTACATTGGTTGCGAGCACGTCCCCGGTGAGGGGTGTGCAGGAGGCAGCTGGTCAATGTTTCTCTCTCATCGATGTTTCTAGCTCTCTATCCCTCTTCCTTCCTCTCTGCAAAAAAATCAATAAAATATATTGAAAAACAACAACAAAAAAACAGCAAGCTGGCACCGCTCACTAGCTCCTCCTGCAAGCAGGCCTCATTAAGAATGGAAAGCTCTGGGCATTTCAGAAGCGTTTCTCTCCTTCCTCCCACCGGAAGCTGGAGGGGAAGCTGGAGGGGATTTCCTCCGGATATGGACTGTGGGAACCTGGCCGAGCTCTTGGAGGTAAATCTCACATCAGGGTGGGAGCCCCCTGGGAGTTTGTAACGCTGAGTGGTTCGCCCGGAGCCTCTGCAATGCGTCCGGGGTTCCTACTCCAGGCCTCGGCTCTCGTCTCCGGTGAGTCTCCGCTCTGGGAAGCCGGATTCCCTACATTTGTCCGTCTGTCCATCCACTCTCGGGAGCGGCAGCTTGCCCGGGCCCTCCTCTCTCTCACAAATCGAAGGAGAGCTGTGGTATTTTTCAGTTCGTCCCGCTTTTTGCTGATGGGTAGGAGGGAGCTCCTATGCTCAGCTGGAAACCGGATCTCCTTGATTTCATGGTCATTCAATTCAAAAGGCTTTCCGCTGCCTTCACTCCTGCTTTGACCCATTGGTTGTTCACGTATTTATTTTTTCAATGACAGTTTATTTTTTTTATTTTTATTTTTCAATGACAGTTTAGAGTCAATATTGTTTTATTTTAGTTTGAGGTGTGCAGTATGGTTAGACAGTTATATAATTTATGAAGCGATCCCCCTGATAATTCTAGTGCCCACCTGGCGCCATACATAGTTACTACACCACTGGAGGCCTGGTGCACAAATTTGTGCTTAAGTGGCGTCCCTCTGCCTGGCCTGCCCTGCCCTGATCAAGGCCTGGGGCTGGGCAGCCGCAGGAGGTTGGCTGTGGGAGCACACTGACCGCCATGGGGTAGCTCCTTGCGTGGAGCATATGCCTCCTGGTAGTCAGAGCATGTCATAGCGACTGGTCTACCAATTGTTCAGTCATTTAGTCATTGGGTCACTTAGGCTTATATATATACACACTGAGTGGCCAGATTATTATGATCTCTGAACACATAATAATCTGGCCATTCAGGATATATAGAGTATTGACTCTATTCCCTATGCTGTAATTTACACCCCCACTCACTAATATATATATTAGAGGCCCAGTGCATGAATTCATGCATTAATAGGGTCCAGCCAGCCTGGCCAGGGCGAGGGGACATGGGTGGTGGGCCAATTCTTTAAGTCTCCATGCTTGAGTGTAGCTTTCTGCCTGCTGGTCGAATTCCTGGTTGAGGGGACAATTTGCACATTAGCCTTTTATTATATAGGATTTACACTGAGTGGCCAGATTATTATGCATTCAGAGATTATAATAATCTGGCCACTCAGTGTATATAGATTATTGACTATATTCCCTGCGCTGTACTTTACACCCCCACTCACTGGTTATTTAGAAGTGTTGTTTGTTTTTCACATATTTGGGGGATATCCAGATATCTTTCTGTTATTGGTTTTAAACTTGATTTCATTGTGGTCTGAGGATATACTTTGCATGGTTTGAGTTTTAAGTGTATCAGGTTTTATTTTGTGACTCAGAATGTGTTCTAGCTTGGAAAATGTCATACGTGCTCTTGAAAAAAAATGTATATGCTGCTGTTATTGGGTGAAATGTCCTATGTCAGTTGGTCAAGTTGGTTGATAGTGTTGTTCAAGGCCTTTATAGCTTTACTGATTTATGTCTACTTGGATCAGTTCTTGTGAGAACAGTGTTTAAACCTCTGACCAAAACTTGAACTTTTACCAGTCTTTATTTTAGGTAGTTGGAAGCTTTCTTAATATTAAGTGCATAAATATTTAGGATATTTATGTCCTTTTGGCAAATTGACCTCTTTATCATTATGAAGTGACCCTTTTTATCTCTGGTAATATTCTTTGCTCTGAAAACTATCTTGTCTGATATTACTATAGACATAGTAGCTTTCTTTTGATTTTCATGTATGTTTCCATATGTACATATGAAATTAAATTTGGTTATTTTCTCTTTTTTAATTTTAAAATATATTTTATTGATTTTTTTACAGAGAGGAAGGGAGAAGGATAGAGAGTTAGAAACATTAATGAGAGAGAAACATCGATCAGCTGCCCCCTGCAGACCCCCTACTGAGGATATGCCTGCAACCAAGGTACATGCCCTTGACCGGAATCAAACCTGAGACCCTTGAATCCCCAGGCTGACGCTCTATCCACTGAGCCAAACTAGTTAGGGCTGGTTATTTTCTCTTATTAATCTGCCTCACATCAATTTGATTATTCGATTGGTTGAAAAAAAGGAAAATGTTTTCATCTTGTGCATAGCTTAGTACAGTGGTCGGCAAACGGCAGCTCGCGAGCCACATGCGGCTCTTTGGCCCCTTGAATGTGGCTCTTCCACAAAATACCACGGCCTGGATGAGTCTATGTTGAAGAAGTGGCGTTAGAAGAAGTTTAAGTTTAAAAAAAATTTGGCTCTCAAAAGAAATTTCAATCGTTGTACTGTTGATATTTGGCTCTGTTGACTAATGAGTTTGCCCACCACTGGTTAACTTGTAGAACAGCAAATAATACTATGCTAACATTTGAAAAAAAAAAAAAGAAAAAGAAACACCATAGCTCTCTCAGTTCATTTACTGTTGTTCTGTGAAGTTACTGGTGTTCCACTCTTGAGGATAAGGGAATGTTCATATGAAAAAAAAGCTACTCAGTTTGAAATTTTATATTCATCTCTGTCTATGTGAAAAGATTCCTGATGTAGGTAATAGCATTTGAACTGCAGTGCCCGTATTTATGAATAACATTGGATTATTTACCACCTGACGCTACTGGGACGACCAGATGCAATAACCCTTTGAAAGGCACAGAGAGCAGTGCCGCTTGTTTAGAGAACAGAAACTCAGTTCTTAAAATACCCAACCACATCAGTGTTTCTTTAACATAAGTGGCTTCTTTTTTGTTTGTTTGTTTGTTAATCCTCTTCCGATGATATTTTTTCCATTGATTTTTACAGAGTGGAGGAGAGAGCCGAGGGGGAGAGAGAGAAACATCAATGCAAGAGAGACACATAGACTGGTTGCATCCCACACATGCCCCTATTTGGGGGCTGGGAATTGAGCTCACAATCGAGGTGTGTGCCCTTGACCAAGAATTGAACCCAAGACCTGTGGTCTGAGAATTGACGCTCAAACCACTGAGCAAAACCAGCCAAGGCTTCTTTAAAAAAAAAATCTCAGAAACTTACTTCCACTTTATAAAGCTCTCATTGCTTATTTGTAAGAAGTGATGCCTCTTTATACCTAAAGAAAAGGCTAAAAAATAAAAAAGGCTGAATGCAATTCATGCTGTTTCCTTTCGAAAAGTTTTAAAATCTAAATTGAATGCTGATATAGGAAGTGTCAGCTCTCTTTAGTTAGAAATAGATGCCAGCAAAGAAATCGTAAAAACGTCTATGAAATGTAAACAAGCTTCTGCATGTATTTCCCCGCTGTGGGTCCCTGCACGTCTCTGTTCTATTCCAGGAAAGGCCCTTTGCTCTATTACAGAAGCCGCACCTGGTAGGTGGGGTGTTTCTGTTTTGGTTTCCATTTCTTAATGAGTCACAATGAGATACTACTCCTTGTGTCTAACTGCTTAATATAGCTCAAGTCAGAGATCTCCGCTCATTCCAGCAGCGGCACCCAGTGGCCTTGCATCGGTCACCTCTCAGAAGGTAGCCGATCCACCAGAAAGGAAACACAGCAGGACCAGCTTGCACACATTTAGGAAACAGTAGCCTTTTTTTTAAATGAAGTGTCTTTTCACCAAGAAGGCCAAGCCCTGTCAGCATGGATGAGCAGGATCAGAGTGAGACCTTTTTTTTTTTTTTTTTAAATATATTTTATTGATTTTTTTACAGAGAGGAAGAGAGAGGGATAGAGAGTTAGAAACATCGATGAGAGAGAAACATCGATCAGCTGCCTCTTGTACACTCCCCACTGGGGATGTGCCTGCAACAAAGGTACATGCCCTTCACTGGAATCAAACCTGAGACCCTTCAGTTTGCAGGCCGACACTCTATCCACTGAGCCAAACCAGTTTCGGCAGGAAACAGTAGTCTTTACCGTGGGCAAAAGGAGAGAACCCTAGAAGTGCTCATGCCCGACTTATGGCAATGTGGTTAAAGATGCAGAGCCCTAGTGGTTTGGCTCAGTGGATTGTGCATTGACCTGCAAGACCAAAGGGTCCCAGGTTCGAATCAGGTCAAGAGCACGTACCTTGGTTGCAGGCTCCTCCTCAGGGTGAAGAATCAGGTGTTTTGTTGCATTAAAAAAATTTTCCAGCCGAAGCCGGTTTGGCTTAGTGGTAGAGTGTTGGTCTGCAGACTGAAAGGTCCCAGGTTTGATTCCGGTCAAGGGGATGTACATTGGTTGCGGGCACATCCCCAGTAGGGGGTGTGCAGGAGGCAGCTGGTCGATATTTCTCTCTCATCAACGTTTCTAGCTCTCTATTCCTCTCCCTTCCTCTCTGTAAAAAAATCAATAAAATATATTAAAAAAATTTCCATTATTGATATTTTTATAAAATAGAAGAAAATGACATGAATAAGACATACAAAATACAAACCACATTTTACTGTGGTTAGTAGACTCAGTAGTTGTCAAGATAGCTAGAAACGTTTCTAGACTCTTATTCTCAGTTCTGTCCTTGTTTCCTGGTGAGCCAGTTCCTGGGCCACACGTGAAACAAACCCTAGCGGAGACTGAATGGTTGCTTGTCCATTGACGGGCTCCCTGGGACCAGTCAGCCACGAGGGAGGAAGGATCACATGGTCTGAACACGCCCCTTCGGCAGGTACTTGGGTTGGGGGCACTTTCCAGAGAATGGGGCGTAAGATATAGAAGCACACAGCTTTGCTGTTTGCCTGGATGCCCTGTGAACACAGCCAAATGGTTGAGTGCTCCACCTGCTTATTTGCTGGAAATGGAGTTTGAGAGCAATGTCCTGTAGAGCAAGCATGTCAAACTCGAAGGCTAACACAGGCCAAGTAAGTGAGGCATGCGGCCCGCGAGTTTGACATGCTTTCTGTGGCGTAGGGTTCCATCACATAGAACAGGATCTTCACAGAAAATACGAAATACTCATTAATTGAATGCAAAGATGAACAAGGTAAGCTCTCTGCCCTCAAGAGTTCACAGTGTTTAGAGCTTTTTCATAGGCTACTTTTCTATCTACTCCCATGAGAAAAATGCTGTTTCTGTTTCCTAGTCGCAAACCCTGCCGAAAAATTTAATTCTCTATAGGCAATGCATTACATGGTCAGCCCATCAAAGATCTCCGAATTCGTCCCACAAGTAATTTATCTTTGCATGTATATGACCAGCTTCCTTGTGTGGGGAGTTGCTTTGAGGGCTGATTTATAAACCATGGCACCCCCAGTGCCCAGCTCAATAGCGTGTCTGACTGTATTCAACGTTTCTTATACGTGGGCGGTGGTTGTGTTGATGATGAAAAAGCAGCAGGGAGGAGGACTTGGGATCAGCGGCTCTTAGTTGCCAATCTGTAAAATGGAGTTAGTAACGCCTACCTCACAGAACTGCACTAAGAGGCAAAAGTAAGTAAAAGCATTGGGCACAACATCCCAGTGCTCCCTGTGTGCGCGAAGCTGCTTAAAAAGCCAGAACACGGCATTGGCAGGGGTCGCTTGACGAGAGCCTTCCTTGGGAACTTCGGTGGGTAACCCAGCCACATATACTAGTGATTCATGCTTAAAATTACTAAGAAAAGGTGCATGACGCCTGGCATCATTTAAAAAATAAAGCAGGAAAGTGAGCAATGGATTTTCAAGTTATTTCAAAAGAATTGGTAAAAATGGACGTCTGGGTAAAGATGACAGACTGAAGCTGGACCACAGATCCCCTCTCTCTGATGCCTAATGAATGAATTAAAACATATTATGTGCAGTGAAATGTTAGGTGAAATCCAGACCGAAGCTGATAAAACCATATCAATTTATAAAAATTAAAATGGAAGGAAGTGCGTATTTTTGCTAGGTATAGTAAGATGTTCCCCCCCACCCCCCCACACTATACTCATCACATGACCTGTAATCAGTTGTTGCCAACCGCTGTTTAAAAATTAGATGACAAAGGAAGATGAGTTTTGTCATGCTGCCAGCAGCTGCTCTCTGGCTTACTGCGGTCTGTCGTGTGTGTGTGTGTGTGTGTGTGTGTGTCCCGCTCCTGCCCTGGTCAGCTGCCTTGTTCTCTAAGCATTTGAGTTTATGTCCCCGAGGTGGGCATGAACTCCAAGCTTATAAAGAAAATTGAGGCAGGCAGAACAAGGAACAGGTCCAATGTTAAATAGTGGCAGAAGCTGGGTTTTTAACCTGGATATTTCAATAAATTCTATACTTCTTCCACTGTACCAACTGAAAATGAGATAAATGCACCTCACTTATGTTTCTCCTGTGTGTCATTCATGTGTGTATATACTCTGCGGCCTTAGGCTACAAGAGCCATCCAAAATAAACTATTTTGTCGTCCACAAGTGAACCAGCATTTGCCACACATCATGTTTGTCCATGGACCCTCTTCTGTGAAATTAATTCAAAGCCACTTATTTTCTCATTGTTGTGTCAAAAAACATAGGATCATATTTTTAAAATAAGTTTTTATTTTAGAGAGAGAAGAGGGGAGAGGGAGAGAAACACCGATGGGTTGCTCTCTGTATGCCCCCTACTGGCAACACGGGCATCGAACTAGCAACCTCTTGGTGCATGGGACAACGCTCACCCAGCTGAACCACACAGGCCAGGGCAGGATCATACTTTTTAAGAGTTGTACTTTTCATTTTATTGAAAAACAAACATCTTCAACATTTCAAATGCTTTAATTCACATTTCTGTCTGTAGGCAATGACCACAATGCAGACCCAAACACAACAAAGGCAATTAGCACAGGGAGTTACGCGGTAGGTACATAGCATGTGGCCGGGACGTGCACAAGGCCAGCTGACTGCTGACTTGGGGCCGCACAAGCGTATCATACTGATGTTCAGAGATCGATTCAGTCAGTTCTCCTGCAAGAGCGATCAGGCCGGGGGCCCAGGCTGCTCGCTCTAACTGTGCATGAAACAGAATTACAGGTGAGTGCCCATTTGCCTGCAGATCAAAGTAAAGAGAAAGAGCCCAGAGCTGGAGAAATGAGAGCAAAATCCTATGAGTCATTGTCAGCCAAGGCACAGAGGCCTTTTCTTACTCCAGGAATTTTCTCCCAATCTCATCATCTGACCTGGATGCCAGCTTGCCTGGACAATGCTGGAGGAACAAGAAAAGCAACCTAACTACTATGCTTTCTTTTCAAATTTCTAAATTTTAAAAAGAAATCTACCTATATCTCACTGTCCACAATTAGGCAGAATTAAAAGAAAACAAAACACCTGAATATAAAGTGCTGGTTCTTGCTTCAATATTATCATTTCAAGGGAAAACCACCCAAAACTCTCACCCATTCTATTGAGCTTTTCAGCTGAACAATGCAAATTATGTATTCGGATCCACAGGATTCTGTAAATTAATATAACCTTCAAAGTTTAGTTGGTGCCAATTTAAAATTCCAAAATGTACCTTAAATACAATTTCACTTTATATTACAAATGCAAACTACCTTTGCTTCGACATGCTGGTTGTATTAATTTTTACAGTGCAAAAAGGACTTTACAATTTCTGAGTCACAGTATATTTTACAACTCTAAGTAGGCAAACACATTTCAAAAGCAAATACTATACATGTTTCTGACACACCTTAAAAAATAAAAATAAATACTTCTGACTATAAACTTTTTATAAACATTAGTGACATGAAGGTTCACAGGTAATAGTTGCAGAAAACCTAAAACGCACTTAAGGTCATGTACTCTTTCCATTCGACACGTCAGACTAGTTTCTATTAAATGTAACCAAGCATGAAAATGATCACCATTTACTTATATAAGGGATCCATAAGAGCTGCCAGGTATTCAGTATTTAAGCCACTACATTTACCAGGAGTTCATGTGTGAGGATAATAAAAGATGAGAGAAGTCAAGACAGACAATGGAGATATGCTTTACTTCATAAATTTCTTCCTGAGAATCTGAAGCTATTAAAAAAAAAAAAAAAATCAAGCCCAGCCAGTGTTGCTCAGTGGTTGAGAATCAATCTATGAACCAGGAAGTCGCAGTTTGATTCCCGGTTGGGGCACATGCCTGGGTTGTGGGCTTGATCCCAGTGTGGGGAGTGCAGGAGGCAGCCAGTCAGTGATTCTCTGTCATCATTGATGTTTCTATCTTTCTCCCCCACTCTCTTCCTCGCTGGAAAAAAAAAAAAATCAAGACAATTTCAAATGGAACAGGAAAATTTTGGGGCAGATTATCTTTTGCAATGTGTAGAATTAACTGGTAATGTAAACAATCGCTACCCTAATATATAACTTGCAAACATGAGTCTTGTAAATTATTTAAAAACAAGACACATACCTATATGTGTATTTAAAAGTGAATTTAATAGCATACATGGGTGGACAAAAGTACGTTTGCATTAGTTTATATGGAAAATAATACAATAATTAATAAATAATACAAGAATAAAGTTTTACCTATTCGCAACTATAAGCTTACTTTACTTTTGCTCACCCATATTTGTAAAAGGTAATGTGTGTAACAATTCTGACTATGAATTAAAGAATAAAACTCATTATACTCCAACATGATGTAGAATAAAGTGAGATCAGATCTGCTCACAGAAATCTCTCAGTCCTAGACTTTAACATTTCTGATGAGATTTGGGAGTTAATGCAAGCAGAATGAAGTATTTTACATAAGTATTTTACTGTTTCAGCACTAGGTTGTTCCTGGGCCTCACCTTAGGTGACTGAAATTTAAGTTTAGAGTAATTCATGGGTGACAGATTCATAATAGATCCTTAGGGAGAGCTAATGGTGTTTTGGGGGACACATTTTAATCTTTCAGAGATTAATGTTCTGAAAGACCAGTAAGATAGGCCATTTGTTAGAGAACACCAGGCTGGAGGCCCAGTGGGACTGCTGAACCCCAGAAGGAGGGAACAGGTTGGTTAGCAACAGAAGACACCCCCTAATGGATAACAATGGAACTAGCCCTTCAGTAAGGTTTTGGCAATTGAGGGTCAAATAAAACAGTGAAACAAAACATTCGGTTTTCGAAGAGTAGTTTGTCAGTGCTTTCCCCACCCCTTTTAAATTGTAGAATATTTCTGAAGAATGAGAATATCTGTCAGGAGAATTAATTTATGGGTTTTACTTACTTAGTCAATAGGCTATATTTTTGATTGTGACTAGAATTTATGTGATCAATAAACTTATTAAATAAAGCTATATACTATAAACACTAAACACAGGTTACCACAATAAAGAAAATAAATAAGTAAAAAAAATACATCTCTCTCTTAAAAATAAATACAATAGAAACATTTTTAGCAGAGGATTCTGTCATTGCCCCGAGGGGAAATTCTGTTAAGTACTTTGGCTACAAAAGGCTACTGTAAGATGACCACTTATTACTCATTATTAAATAGTTTTTGAGAAATGAACGTGACTAGTAAATTTTCTACATTTTTCTTGGATTACATCGTCTTTTAATCAAAGGAGGAGTGGGTGAACTGTCCAGCTTGGAACCCATAACTTTCAATCCAAAGAACGTATTCTGATGTTAGTTTTTATCAATTTGCCTGTGTGGTCCTCTCTTGGCTGCCTTGGGTTCTAACAAGATGCTGAATTTCAGCAGCTCAATGTGGTCATTATGAGGGTTAACCAAACATTTGGGGTCTGAAAGTGCTCCTGAAATACAAGTTATAACAAAAATTTCAAGTATAGTCTTTCCTTTCCATTTCTCTTTTTAGGGTTTCCTGGAAATAAACACTGTGGACCCACTAGATGCTGGGCTCTAGGAAATCTTAGGAGGCACACGCTGCCGGAGGGCCCAGCTTAACACACTGGCTGGAAACCACCCATTTCCTTTCAAAAAAGCAAGTTAACTTTGAAAATGTTATGGTGTCACCACATTAAAAATTAAGATGGAAGTGGTTTTCCCACCCACATCTTGTTGGATGTATACTGTGTCCATCAAACGTGTGGTTCAAGAGTAAAGAAGGAGGGATACCCCTTCCGTGAGCCTCGCTCTCAAGCATAAAGCCACGAAAAAGACTCGTCACCTTCATGTACAGTTCTGTGACTTTAAAAATGAGGACCATACGATCAAAGTGTTTGCTAAGAACAAAAACAAAAAACAGGCATTAGTAAACAAGTAGAAGTTTGGCTGTTTTTGGAATGATATTTACAGAAATGCATACTCATACTACTGGTGAAATGAAGACTTAACAGTTGATGGAGAATGTCTACTTTTGGATGAATATGTTTTTACTTGTCTGTGAGCATTCTATGGCAAGTTTTCGTTTCCTCATCCAGCTACTCAGTATCCTTGATATCCTCTTGATCCGAGTTACTAGAGATGTCATCATCCGTCTGTTCTCCGGAGAAATACAGCATCAGCGCATGTGTCTTGTGAGTGATGGTGACGGTGCAGGGCCCTTGGGCCCACGGCTCCCCATCCACCTGCATTGGCATCATCGAGCACTTCAGAATCAGCTGGTTCAGGGAACAAAGAATTAGAACAATTAGTCCCCAAAAAGCTCAGAAAGGTCTTCTTTAAAACATCATCCATAATCCTTAAACCTCCTTAGCATACACACACACACATACATACACACATATATTCACATATATACATATATACACACATACACACACACACACACACACACACACACACACACACATATATATAATTGATTTTAGAGAGGAAAGGAGAGGGAGAGGTAGAAACATCAATTATGAAAAAGAATCAATGATTGGCTGCCTTCTGCATGCCCCCTACTGGGGATCCAGCCTGCAACCCAGGAATGTGCCCTTCGCCGGAATCAAACCTGGGACCCTTCAGTCCGCAGGCCAATGCTCTATTCACTGAGCCAAACCAGCTAGGCTGGATATGTTTTTATTCCTTGCTTGTTTAAAGGATTCCTTTCCCATGAAGACTTTATTTCTGCAACTGGACTGAAGGCCTATTTCCTGTTTCTTCCCCATCCCACTCAAGCCCCTCAAGGAGGACTGAACAGCCGAGGAGTAAAGCACTGCTTCAGGAAAGCTACAGATCCGGGGCTTAGAAATGGACCGACCGATTAGCCTGTCAGCGCACTTTCACCTACCCGCACTGTGTGAGCCTGTCCTATTCGAAAAGGGTTTGCCAATTTCACCTGAATCTGAGCACAATGGAAAGACCCATACACTCCAACGACTTCCAGTAAGCCATCGTCATGCCTACAATTAGGAAAAGGAAATATGGATTATACGATGCAATAAAACAAAATCATCCATGTTAGGACAATTATTTTTTTTTTTAACATAGGTGGACCATCAACTTATTAAATATTTGTATTAATGAGGTATACAAGAAAGAAAATCTAAAAAAAAAAATCAGAGGAAAAGAAATTCTATGAAGAACAGACTGTTTAAAAGCAGAAAACAGTGGCATAAAACAGTAGATCGCAAATGTACATACCTGGCTAGGGGGTAGGTCTCATCTCCCATTCCTTCCCATAATCTGCAGCCACCGCCCCAGTATCCAATGTTCAGAACAATAATACCTTCCAGATTAGGCAGTTCTACTCGCTCACCATCCAGTTCTAGCTTTAAAGAAATCCAAGCAGTTAGTTACTACAGGGCACATGATTTGCAGACATATCCACCTAAAATTCACGTCCACTTTCATATACATGAGATGTGAGAGATGCAAGTGTAAGAGAAGACTACTTCCTCACTCACGGTAACCTGGCCTCCCACATCTGTCCAATGTTTACTATGATAAACGAATGATAAATGGATTTTCCCCACAAGGTCATCAATCACATCCTTTTTGTGAAACCCCATTCTTTCTTTTATTGTTTTGCAATGTGGCTTGCATGTCTTTCTTCTCTCTAGACCAGCAGTCGCCAACCCTTTGCACCTCACGGATCACAGTGGCCCTCAGACCACCGGTTGGTGACCTCTGCTCTAGACTATAAGTTAGCGACAACAAGGGGTTTATCACTGTATCCCCAGTAGCTAGGACAGTGCATTTTGTAGGTGGCTTCACTTAATATTTTTGTATAAATAAAGGATCAGACAAAAAAAATAAAGTGCTACCTCCTGTGCTTCACTCTACCAACGCTACCACAGCCTAAGACAAAGGAAATATGATAAAGCAGAAGGAAGCTTTTTTAATGGGCACTCTTGCCCTTCCTCTGTGCTGTGGCTGCGAAGGCTGTGAGCTCTTTCCTTTTTACTTATTTTACTAGTTGTTGGTTTTCTGTATTAATGTCTTTTGTCAGTGCTGTTAACCATTACAAATTCTTTTTGGAAGCAAGCAAGGAATATATACGAGTCTTTGCCATATTATGATATTAGGGATATTGTAGCAGTAAGCAACTGTTATTATCTACTTTTACTGCTCATATATTTTTATTTTGTAAGAGAGATGCATTACCACCATAATATGAATTACAATTTGGGTTAAACCTTCCCCGAGAGTCCATGATGAGTCAGGCACTATGTTAAATAACTTCACAATTGTCATCATGTATGAATGGAAACGGTTTAGCATAGAGTTAAACAGACTCTGGAGTTATATAAACCCGGGGTCAAATCCTGATTTTACATGTATTTTTGTAATTATTTAATTTAGTGGGATAATGTGCATAAAGAAGTTAATAAAGTGTCTGGCACACAGTAAATATTCCGTATATATTAGCAAAATATGTCAAAAATTCAGCATTTCTGTTAAAAAAAAATGTTCATTATCCAGATAGCACCTAAACTTTAAAAGCTTACCTCAACTTTTTTATTCAGATCTTTACATTCTTGCACTAAACAATCTTTGGTTCCATAGAATAAGTAAACAGCCTATGAGAAATAAACAGAAAATATGAGAGTAAAGCAATCTAACAAGTCCTGTAAGCAAGAAAAAGACACAGAACCAAAGCTCCCTGTCCTGAGTGCTGGGTCATGTTTCCTCAGAGTGGATTAGACGCTGTGGGGAGAGGGGCATCATTACTTTTGGGTTCAGCCCGTTTTTCAGGGGGAATATGAGATACAGGTGGTGTGTGCCTAAATAGTGTTTTCTCCTGGCTTATTAAAAAACAAAACAAACAAAAAAACCCCCTAAAATTTCACCCTGGCTGGTGTTGCTTAGTGATTAGAATGTTGGCCTGTGCACCCAAGTGTCTTGGGGCTTTTTTAAAAAACATTTTTTTTGGGGATAATCCTCACCTGCGGATATTTTTCCATTGATTTTTAGAGAGTGGAAGGGGTGGGGGAGATACATCAATGTGAGAGACACATCAATTCGTCGCCTCTTGCATGCTCCCTGACTGGCCTGTAATCAAGCCAGCAACCAAGTCATGTGTTGTTGACCAGAATCAAATCCGAGGCCCTTCAAACCACAGACCAAATCAGCTATGGCAGTGTCTTGGGTTTGATTTCTGGTGAAGGGCATATACCTGGGTTGCAGGTTTGATTCCCGGCCCTGGTTGGGGCATGTGGAAGGCAACCAATCAATGTCTCTCTCTCACATCAATATTTCTTTCTCACTCTCCCCCCTCCCTCCTTCCCTTTCATTTTCTCTAAAAAAAATCAATGGAAAAAATATACTTAGGTGAGTAAGGATTACCAACAACATCAAAGCTACATTTTATGAAGAATACTACATTAAAATTAAAAAATTCCACCTTTCCCAGGAATTTCCCAGGAAAGTAATACAGATAAATCTAGGAGCATTTTGTTATCACTTTTGAATATAAAAAGGGTGCAAAGTTGATTGGAGGCACTGAAAATGTTGTTAATTACCAATGATATAAACAGCAGTACTTACTTTGTACCTTCTTTAATAAAAGGAAACCATTTGTAAAAAAGAACCAGGAACAAAATTGTTTTGCATTTATTTTTCCTATCCTATTGCTCAATCACTAATAGTCATGAAAAAACTCCAAGACCAAACTTCCACCAAAGGAACCACCTGTACTAGGAACCAGAGCAATGCTGGTGGCTAAAAGCATGGCACACAAACTGCTCCCTCCCTTACCTTTCCTGCCTTTCCCAGTTTTTTCCAAGTCAGTGGAATCTGTTTTTCCATTAACAACCTCACCTAAAATGTATCCTGCCTAAAATTTCTTTCCCGTATCAGTTGCCATTTAAGTAAGATAAGCTATTGTATACTCCAATTAATTGCCTCCAAGAAAAATATGCTGTAAGACATTCCAACTTTAAATACAATTTTTTTTTTGCCATAATGATAAAATACTTTAATCAAATACACTTAAGGATATAATTTGACAAAAGAGAGCAGGCCAGTGTCTCCCTAAGTTAGTTCTGTCTGAATCTACTTGAAAGGGTGCAGGATATAAGGAACTATTGATTTTTACTGTACCTTCGGTGTAAGCAGGAAATGTTATTTTATCCAACACACCTTATTAAGAATTCTGCTAGAAAACAGAGATGGCGCCTTCTCGCGATGAGCGTGAAAATTGAGGGCCATCAGAGCGTCAGGTCCGATAGAAAAGTAGTTGTTCATGGTGAATTCCTGTGGAACAGGGTAAGACTTAGCAAGAGATTTGCTTCAGTCTAAGCCTGTGTCATGTCTTCAATGTGTAAATCTGTTTCTATACTCTTTATGACAACTTTCTGCATTTCCTGCCCACATAGAGCTATTTTATGCCATCCAGTATGTTTAAAAAGAAAGCTTCAGTTCAAAGGCTGATAATTATAGATGTGAGTTTCCCTTCCCATTTCTGTTTAATATGCTACAGCTCAGATCTCATCATCAGAGTGACTCTACTTTGCCCCTGGGCTTTTCCACTCCTATGTTCGTTCCTGTTACATTTGCTTCTATTAATCTCAACCCAGGCTCCTAGCAAGCACCCCTTAGTTTATCTGACCTCCTGGCCCAGCCTGGATTCCTCAGCCTACATCTCCAGCTCTGTCTCGTTCCTGAGAATAAGCCCGAATGTCCAACTTGGTGTTCAGTGCACCATAACCTCAAGGTTAAGAAGCTAAAAATCTAATTCATTCTCTTCCTACGCAAACCTGTTATTTTTTCTATCTTAATGTGATTTCCATGAACCCAGTCATGAAAACTAGAAACCTGGTAGTAAATATGTACTTTTTCTCTTTCCCTAGTACCAGTCAGATGCCAAAGTCTTGATCAATTCTACCTCAAAAGAGTCGATTTTCTGGGATTCTTCCATTGAAAATGTGGCATTTGATTCTGAAAGACATACTAGGCCATACATAGTTGCCAACTATATACTAAGTAGGTGAGAGGCTGAAACCTTAAAACGTTCATCTTTCACTTCCCCCAGTCTGTGGTCTATCTTTGGATCGGCAATTGCCTGAACAGCTACTATGGCTCCATTGATTTGTGTCTGTGGCTCTTTGAGCTCTTCTCTATGTAGCAATCGAATTAAGAACTTCATCTCCTGTGTCAAAACCAAGAATATGCTTGTCTAAAGCGACAGGCATAAAGTGTGATGCTGAGCAGCATCATCCTGTCAGGCTCCTGGGCCAGGATGAGAGTGACATTAAACATTGCCAGGTAATCATCACGATACTGAATCTGACGGTCAGCCAACATCATTCCACCAGCTGTCAAATCAGGATTGTTTACACCCCAACTGGTCAATGGCTCTGCATTTTTAGCCGAATTTCTGTATTTTTTGTATTATCAGGAACCGAGTCCCTGTGTTTTGCAGTATTATCTCCACATTCAGTCTAACAGCTAAACCAAGAAGCCAGCCAACTGCTTCTTATCAGTCTTGAATCTTGAAAGGACAGCTAACATCTGAGATGCTTTTCAAAGAACTTGGGTCAGTCACTGCTGTGGATGTCTCTTAAGTTACCTGTCTTCAGTCTTGTAGTATTTGATTTTCTGGTCTTCAAGCCAAACAATAAAGTTTCTAAATTCTGTTTCATCTTTGTAATTGAAGCCGCAGGGTTTTGGTAGTGGAGAGCCATTAGCTTGTGTGGGAACACGGTCCTGGCTCTCGCTCTGCTCCCCAGGAGAGGAGAGGTGAGGAACGGCCCATGTACCGGGGATGCGGTGAGAGCCAGAGCATCTTTTTAAAAAGATACATTTGTTCTCTCCGTATGATTTGCTATTTGCTGACCATGATTTGTACCCTCTGGTCTCTATTCTTCTGTCTGGAAAGTACTGATCCTTTCTCTGTTGATCTAAATTGTATTTACCTTTTTTTAAAAAAAAAATATTTTATTGATTTTTTACAGAGAGGAAGAGAGAGGGATAGAAAGCTAGAAACATCGATGAGAGAGGAACATCGATCAGCTGCCTCCTGCACACCTCTTACTGGGGATGTGCCTGCAACCAAGGTACATGCCCTTGACCGGAATCAAACCTGGGACCTTTCAGTCCGAAGGTCAATGCTCTATCCACTGAGCCAAACCGGTTTTGGCTGTATTTACCTTTTAAGGATCAACTCACTTGTGGCTTCCCCTGTCTGAGCTTCCAAGGCAGAACCAAGCACCTTGCGCTGCTTCCGCCCACAGCGCTGTACTGTCCAGCCTGGGAGCTGTGCCCGACTCCCAAGCACACGGTCTCTTCTGCTCCATAAGCAGCTCCCCACAGAGAAGCCCTCCGTCCCTGTGCCCCACCGGTGCCACATCTCATGCTGTGGAGACTGTCCGGCATGCTTGCTGAAAGTACTCCCAACTGAAGCCCTAAAAATGTACCCTGAGTTGCCTGGCCAGTGTGCCGCTCAGTGGTTGAGCATCGACCTATGAACCAGGTGGTCATGGTTCGATTCCCGGTCAGAGCACATGCCCAGGGGTGTTGGAGGCAGACAATGGATGATTCTCTCTCATCACAGATGTTTCTCTCTCTCTCTTGCTTCCTTTCTGAAATCAATAAAAAACAACAAAACAAAACAAACACCCCCACATACCTTGGCTTTTCTCAAGTTGTAGTATCCTTTATTTGTTACTTGAACTTTCCATCTGAAAAACAGAGAAGTTAAAAAAATTCATTATTATTTCCAAACTGCCAATTAACTACAATTGTAGCAATCAACTCTGTATGCCTGGGAGATGAGGTCCTTCTATTAAAACAGCATTTGAATCCTAGCTGCTTTGGCTCAGTGAATAGAGCATTGCACTGCGGACTGAAAGGTCCTAGGTTTGATTCTGGTCAAAGGCACATGCTTGGGTTGTGGGCTCACTCCCTAGTAGGGGGCATGCAGGAGACAGCCAATCAATGAGTCTCTCTCATCGTTGATGTTTCTATCTCTCTCTCCCTCTCTCTTTCTCTCTGAAATCAATAGAAATATTTAAAAAATAAATAAAATAGCCTTTGAAAAAATAAACACATCTGTGCATATGCAAATTTTGAGGTAAGTATTCAGTCTAACTTGTGACTTCTGTTCTTATAAATATTATAAGCAACAAAATAAAACACCATCATCTATGTGTAAGTACAACTAACATAATCTTTCACTTTTTTTATTTTTAAAAATATATTTTATTGATTTTTTACAGAGAGGAAGGGAGAGGGATAGAGAGCCAGAAACATTGATGAGAGAGAAACATCGACCAGCTGCCTCTTGCACACCCCCTACCGGGGATGTGCCCGTAACCAAGGTACACACCCTTGACCGGAATCGAACCCAGGACCTTTCAGTCCGCAGACCGACGCTCTACCATTGAGCCAAACCGGTTTCGGCTAATCTTTCACTTTTAAATTACATTTAACTTTATAGCTTATACAAGACTTCATTTATAAACCAAACAAAATTCTCAAAGCTCAAAATTCTATTTTTTTTTGGGGGGAAGTATAACTTACCTGTCCAGTTTAATTCCATCTGCTTCCATCACATTTCTTAAGACCTGGGCGACTGGGATTTCGCCCGTGTAACTTGTGCCCCAGCCCAAAGTGTTGGATAGATCGTTGCCTGTTCCCAGAGGCAAGACGGCAACTTGCGGAATGTACTTTTCCTGCCCCTGGAATATGGAAGACAGAGTTTAGATTTTCCTTCTCTATTTGCACAGCAATAACATTTGTTGTTGAGACTGGTACCTTAATCTTCATTTCATCAACTGCATCGAGGACCCAGCCCACAGTCCCATCCCCTCCACAAACGAGCACTCGAGCTGAGTGATACGGAAGAAGAGTACAAAGCTGTAGGGCTTTGATGGGGGGAGTTTTAGTTACATCGAAAACCTAAAAATGAAAGAAAAGAAAACAATTATTTTTATCCCACACTGTCCTCCACTCATCAGATGGTATAGACACGGTTAGATAAAAGACTGGCTGCAATGCACTGATCTGTAATATTATAATATGCCAGACTTTTCTTTTCCTTCACATCCTTTTTACTGAATGTATAATGTTGAAAGGGAAAAAATACACATGGGAAGGAAAAACATCAGTGCATCTCTGATGGTTGCACAGTTGGGTTGTTTAGTTTTTCAAAGCAGAAGCTGCTAGCACGAAACCTCAGTTTCAATGGCGCAATCCTTTTATTCTTATTTTTTAATTGAGGTATAATTTGCATTTAATGAAATTCCCCATTTCAAGTGACCAAGTCAATGATAGTTAGGAAGTTTACTGAGCTGTGCATCAGCACTTTAGAACTTTTGTCGCTCTGATAAGATCCCTCATTGTCCACGTGCAGTCACTTCTGATTTCCTATCTCGGTGACCAGGAATGTACTGTTTCTACAGATTTGCCTTTTCCGGGTAGATCATAAATCAAATCAAACAGTGTGGGCCCCTCGCATCTGACTTCTTGGACAGTGGGGCTGTTTCTACTTTTTGGCTACAGTGCTGCTATGAATATTTGCATAAAAGTCTTTGTGAAACATGTTTTCATTTCCCTTGGGTAGACTGAACCCAGGCATGTGCTCTGGCTGGGATTCAAATCAAGACCTCCTGGTTCATAGGTCAACGCTCAACCACTGAGCAACACCGGCCAGGCTGTATGTTTAATTTTTTAAGAAACCTCCAAACTGTTATCTAATATGGCTGCACCATTTTATATCTTCACCATGAGTTCCTTTTTCAATGTATTAGAGTAGTTTGATACTTTTATAATTATTATTCTTTCCTACAATCAGGTGAATACTGGTTGAAAGAATTAATAACCATTACAATTTAGGGAAAATGAAAAGATTAACACAGAAAGGAAGGTTTTCTCTTTAGATACCTGGACTGGGTTTAGAAGAATCCTGAATTCTCCCAAGAGTCCATCTCCCATGTTAGTTCCACTACGAGAGTTGGCCAGGACTATTAATGGAGTCCATTGCTTCCCAAGCTTAGAGGCTAACTAAAAAAAATTAAGGCGAATGAAAGGGTTAAATATCTCATCTGTACATTGTATTGTGTTCAAGTCAAGTCTCCTTCCATTACCACTTATCCTTTCTATAGTTTCCCCCACCTACCCTATTTTCCAATTTTTTCATTTCTTAGAAACAACAGTACTGTAATTTGCTGAGAGAAAAACAACTATCCCAGAACAATAAATACAATATAAAAATCAAAGAACGGGACAGGACCTTAAAGATGAACTAATTTAACCTCCACTTAACATACAATTCTTTTCTACATTATTCTAGCTAAGTCCTGCAGTGTATGCTTAGATACGCATATAAGAACTCACTAACAAGGCAGCCCATTCTACTGCTAAATTATTAGACAGTCTTGACTTAAATGGAGTTAAAAATCTGTCTTCCCATAATTTATTTATTATTCTAATTTCATTTGTTTTCCCTAAAATGCTGTGCTCAAACATCTGAAGCATATTATCTTTCATTAGTCTTGTCTCCTAGACAATGCATTTCAAGTTCTTTTAACTGTTCATAGAATGGACAATGACTTTCTCTGCTCTTTTACCTTGACTGTCCTTTTCTGGATAAAGTCTAATATATTTTAGTTTGCAAGTTTGTTTTTTTCAAATGGGTACTCAGATAGATGAAAGAATCCAGATTTGTATAATGCCCAAAGTCAAATGAAAATAATGTTTTTCTAACTTAACAATTTCTTTCCTCTCCCCTTCTCCTTGTGGATGAAAAAAACAAATGGAGTTGTTCTGTGGTTTTTCTTAGCGATTCTCACTCCTTGTGATCTCAGAGTGAATTCAAATACATAGGGGTTGGATAGGTTATTTATTTACTAAAATCCTCACCTGAGGATATATATATATATATATTATTGATTACAGAGAGAGAGGGAGAGGACAAAGAGAGAAAAAACATCAATATGAGAGAAAAACAGTGATTAGTTGCCTTCTGTACATGCCCAGACTGAGATTGAAGCTGTAACCTCGGTATGTTCCTTGATCGGGAATCAAACCAGTGACCCTTCAATGTATGGGAGACACTCCAACCAACTGAGCCATGCAGTTGGGCACTTAAAAATATGTATCCCAGCCTGGCCACTATGGCTCAGTGGTTGAGCATCAACCCATGAGTTAGGAGGTTGAAGTTCAGTTCTTAGTCAGCCCACATGCCTGTGTGACAGGCTCGATCCCCAGTGGGGGACATGCAGAAGGCAGCAGATCAATGCTTCTCTCTGTTCCTCTCCCTCTCTATCTAAAAAAGAAATCGGTGAAAACGTATTTTAAAAAATGTACCACAACATTAAACATAATATTTTTAAATTTTCAAATACCCCTTTCTTTTGCAGTAATATTGACAAAGATGACATTTAAGATATAAAATCCTAACTTGGAAAAGATACAATTTAATTTTAAAATAAAATAGTTTAATCATTTTGGCATATTTATGTAGAAAATCAATGCCAATATTTATAGTTCTTCCTTCAGAGCTACAGAACGACTGATACATTTACATCAGTTTTCATACACATACTGTAAAGTGCTATTAGCAGCTTCAATGTTCAACATAATTTGTAGGACCATATAATGAGCAATGTAAATGCATCTCTAGACACCTTGTGTAAAGTTCTCAATGGAAAAATTCTTCTAGAACAATATGTGAGGAAATCTACATTTTCTTTTCACTGGCAATAATCATGAATCCCAATCCTAGTGTTCATCAGAATCATCGGAGAAACTTAAAAAGACATGGATGGATTCCTGGGACCTACTTACTAAATCAGACATGGTCAGGAAGTGGGTTCAGGAACCTGTATATTTAGAAAGCTCCCCAAGTGATCCAGAAGCAGGCAGTGATTTAGAAACCACTAATATAACATTTCCTTTTAGACATGAAAGAACTCAAGAGCCCAAATTTGTGGCACACCTCTAGGATCTGGGTGGGGATTTATGGCTTACCGTAATGATCCTTCTCACGTACACATAGTTGTAATGGTCACACAATGACTTAAACCACTTCCTGGAAATCAATTACATAAGGACAAATGAACTCTGATTACCATTGCATAATCTGTTTTTTTGTCTTTACGCATCTGATTAATAGAGGTTAAGTAACTGGGTGGAATGATGAGGTTTCTGAATTCTCCAAAATCACACTCTTCGTTCTTTAGGCTACTTCTCATGCATTCGTCATGGACAGTTTTCTGACACCAAATGCACCTGAGGGACGGAAGAAACAAAGAGAATAATGAATAACGTAAAACCATAGTGTACTGATCTGCAGACCAATCATTTTTGTCAAAAATCCTAAAACAGTAATTCCATCCCTTTTGAGCATAAAATCTGGCAAATGAAAGATTTATAGTTGTACCTACATAGTGAAAATACAGCAATAACGTTTGAACATACTTGGCAGTTTAACAGTGGTAAAAGATGGTTTAGGGCCCCTAATATCCCTTCTGGGTGTCTGTGAGGTTAAAATTATTTAAATAATAATATGTTATTTTTACCCTCATTCTCTCAAAAGTGGAGTTTTCCAGAAGCTGTATAACAGATGCTATGTCAATAAATTGATGCAGAAATAGATAGCAGACTCTGAGCTGACTTCTAAGCCAAAGAGATGTACCCACAACTAACATCACTCTTCTCTTTTGATTTTCATTTATTTTATTTTGATAAAAATGCAGTTTTTAGCCTGGCCAATGGCTCACTGGTTGACTGTTGCCCTATGAGCCAGGAGGTCACAGTTCTATTTCCATCAGGGCACATGCCCGGGTTGTGGGCTTGATCCCCAGTGTGGGGCGTGTATGAGGCACCTGATGGATGATTTTCTCTCATCACTGATGTTTCTCTCTCTTTCTCTCTCCTCTCTAAAATTAAAAAAAACAAAAACAGTATTTGTTATCATGATCAATCTTTTAAAAATGAATATTGAAACAAGTTCTCAGTTTTCATTTATAACATGGTAAATATCAGATCTGATTCACATAAACAAAAGCCGATCTAGAACAACTGTTCTGTGCATTATTCATTTGTGCTTTGACTGGAGCGGGTTCATGAGGCCTACAGTCCTTAGTGCTTGAATGTCCCACTGGCCTGGGTCCTTGAAGCATTTCCTCAGGGTCCAGTGTGAAAATATCTTTACTTATATAACCACCTGTGAATATTACAACTACAGTAAAACAGTCCATTTCTTGGTGGCTGTTAATATAAAATGAATCTATATGTTTGCATTTGAAATACAGACAGAAGACATGCACATTCAGATGAGCCTTTGTTTGCACCAGTGCAGGAACCAGCAGGGAATAGTGCCTATCAAGGCCCCGGGCTCCTGCCATTAATCCGCTCAGCAGTTAATCCTCCCCCGAGATGGCAGCTCTGGCTGTCCAGATGACTGCAGGCTGGCTGAAAATAGACATCATAGTTAAATGAATAATTTAAAAAAGGACAATTACTCTTTCACCCCAGATCAACAATTTAGCCTTCTATTTTAAGATGTTGTTTTTTTTCTCGGATGTTCAGATTTGCCAAGTAATTACCGCTATTTACTGCTGAAAGAAGAGTGATCTGCATGACCTGTTAGAGAAAACTGTACAATAACTTGCCTGATAACCTTGGTTGATGCTCGCTTTCAAACTAGAAAAGATGTTTTTTGCAGCTGAGTACCTCCGCCCACTTTCTGTTAACTTTAAAAGAGTATGTTATCATTGAAAATACCAATCTAAAAGGACACTCACTGATTTATTTCACAGTGGTTTCCTCTGGGAAGGAAAGTGGGACTGAAGGATGACAACATTCACTTTTTGCTCTATATTCTTTTGTAAATTGCCTGAGTTTCTAAAAACCAGAATATCTTCGTGTACTGGTATACATTTTAAAATGAGATGATATCAGCTTTTTCTTGAAAAAGACATAAAATAAAACTCATCCAGAGATAGTCACTCTTAACTTTTAGATGTGCTTACTCTCGATTTTTACAGTGCATAAATGTTTGGTTCTCAGGTTAGGGACATGCTGTATATAGGTCTGGATAGTACTTTTTCCCTTCCCACATTGTATCATGAATATGGCCTATGCCATGAAATATTTTTTTAAAAACATGGTTTGCAAAGAATGAGTAATATCATATGGACATATATTATTTATATATCATATGACATAATTTATTCAACCCCTTTTCTCTTTTCCCTCCCAAACAGTTTATTTTTCTAAGTATAAATAACATAATGAATACAATGAGGCTTAAATATAAATGAGGCTATTTTTCTGAACTCTTGAAGTCAAGTTACTGAGTCAGAGGCCATGCATTTTCCTAAGGTTCTTGTATGTCTGCCCAATATGCTTATCAATGCACGAAGGTGTCCATCATATCTAACACTTGCTAATACTGCTCATTAGGACTTAACATGTTTTGTTTTGTTTTTTATAATTTGATAGACAAGGAAAGTACTTTGTTGTTTGCATTTGGATGTCTTTGATCACCAGGTGAAGTTGAATTGTTATTTTTGGCCTTTTGTTAGTTGATTCATGCCCTATATTTTAATAAATGCATGCATTTTTATGTGTGTAGGATAAACATTTTCCTATCATATTTATTGCAAACTAGTTTGCTTTTTTTAAAAATTACTTTTTAATGTATGTAAGTTTATTTTTTGATAGTTCTATATTTCTTTATGTGATTTATTCAAATGTTTTTATGCTGTGAAGACCTATACCGCTGCCACCTGATTTTGTGAAAACAACTATACCCAGTGATTTATGTATTGTCCACGGCTGGCTTTGTTCAACATCAGATAGTAGAGTTAAGTATTTTTGACAGACCATATGATTTGCAAAACCCAAAATAATGTAGTTTTGGCTCTTAACAGAAAAAGTTTGCCTACTTCTGTTATAGAAGATGATTTGCTATTTTTCACTGTTTCAGTTAATTAATAAAAGGTATAAACACATACCAATAGAACAGAGATATAAAGGGATGTAATGAAGAAAGACCTTATAAATAAAAAGGCACTTTACATTTTCTTAATGAGACAGAACACAAAAGGAACAAAGGTTCATTTAATAGCTGTAATGAATACTTAAAAATATAAACTAATTTTCTATTTAGTTTAGAAGAGAGGTGAAAAGATTAAAAGGAAGTAGAAGCAGGAAAAAAAAAAGGAAAAAAAAAAAAAGGGAAAAAAAATCTACAGGAAAGTAAGAATCCAGCACAATGTGTGGCAAGAAACAGATGCTTACTATGTGAAAACTAAATAATGACTGAGCATAAATTAAAGGGCCTTTGTCATTTGTCTGCGGAGTTTAACTGGGCTGCAGGCATCACTTGTCATTACTGCCCTTTGAAACGCTAACTTGTTGTACCGCCTTCACAGTTCATTTAACATTGCAGCTATCCCAATAGGAGCCCCCAGCAGTACTTGATAAAATCCAGAGACAGGGACAGTCTGGCCTGTGTTTAAAAGTTCTAAATAGCCCTGGCCGGTTTAGTCATGGATAGAGCATCAGCCAGGGTAGTGGGAGGGTCCCAGGTTTGATTCCAGTTGGGGGCACATGCCCAGGTTGTGGGCTTGATTGGTGCGGGGGCATGCAGGAGGCAGCTGATCGATGATTTTTCTCTCATCATTGATATTTCTATCTCTCTCCCTCTCTGGAAAAAAAAAAAAAAAGGTTCTAAATAGATATTTATCTTGTTTTTCTTTCTCAAATATTTCATTCCCACAGAAGGTCATAGCTGACTGGAATCCTGAATAAAATCACTGGCTGAAACAAGTCAGGACATTGCAGAACATACGCCACTTCGGGGCATTGTGCTCTTTTCTCCTGTGAACAACAGACCCTTCCTAAGTGACACAGAGACCATTCCTCCCACGGGTTAAGGGTTCTGCATGCTTGGACAGACTGCTCACGACCAGTCAGAACAAGGTAATGAGGCAAAGGAGATTTATCAGCAGAAACATTCGCTGTGCTCAAGGGAGTGGGGAGGGGACACAAGGTTTAAGGATAGAGGCTCATGTTTAAAAAAGCTACGTAAATATACAAGTGGTTCTCCAACTTTAGAGTTACCTGCAGAGCCTGTTAAAGCCAAGAATGCTGGTCCCCAGCCCCAGTTTCTGATTCAGTGGGTTGCCAGGAAAAATAGAGGTTGCTCAGTTAAATGTGAATTTCAGGTAAGTAATTTTTAGGAATAAGTATGTTCCAAGTACAGCAAAAATTTTTATTTTGTTCACTAAATCTGGCAACTCTAAAATTTGCATTTCCAACAAGTTTCTAAGTAATGCTGCTGCTCGTGGTTGTGGGGACTTGATTTTGAGAACCAGAGAGAAACAGGATATTATGTTATCATCCAGAGGGAAAAATTTGAAGACAAGGATTCCTAGCGAAAAGGGCTCAAGGTGAGTCTTTAAGGATGCATAGAAGCTAGCCAGGAGAAGGGTACTTAAGACTGAGAGGAAAGAAAGCCTTGAGAGAAAAATAAAAAGGGCAGGACAAAAAAGGACAGCCTGCCTGATGTTGCTTACTATACATAAAAGTTGAATGCAGGCGGTGGTAGTAAGGTTAAAAGGGCAGGCAGGGTCCGGAGAATAGGCAGGACTGTGTTAAGCACTTCGAGTTTAGACTAAAAGACCTTCAGTACATGTGATGGGAGCAATGGAAGTGTTTTAAACAGAGCAGGTACTCGGTCTGCTCTGCTCCTTCTCAGATCAACACAGTGCTCTGATCCTCCACCTTAATGATCTTTCTAAAAACACAGTTAAGATACTTATGGCAGCCACTTTTATCTAATTCTGTACCAACACAAAGGAGGGAAGGAAATAAAACAATACTAAGTTCATGTCTTCTTTCCAGTTAATCTCAGCTCTTGAAGACTGAGGGAGAACCATAAAATGTAAAGGGAGAACCATAAAATGTAAAGACATTGGTAACCTAGCTCTCATGGATGCCAAAAGGACAAGAGACCAAATAAAAATGAGTGGTAACAAAACTCTAGTTGTTTAAAATATATTTTTGGGGAAGTTAATTCTTAAGTCTAAATCTGATGGGTAAAACTAAAAAAATAAGACTTAAAAAATAGGTGTTGAATACTGCCAGTAGTTGAGCTTTGACCTATGAACCAGGAGGTCGTGATTCAATTTCTGGTTAGGGCACAAGCCCGGGTTGCAGGCTCAATCCCCAGTTGGGGGATGTGCAGGAGGCATCTCTTTCTTTCTTTTTAAAAAAATATATGTTATCAATTTTTTACAGAGAGGAAGGGAGAGGAATAGAGAGTTAGAAACATTGATGAGACAGAAACATCGATCAGCTGCCTCCTGCGCATCTCCTACTGGGGATGTGCCGCAGCCAAGGTACATGCCCTTGACCGGAATCGAACCTGGGACTCTTGAGTCTGCAGGCCGAAGCTCTATCCACTGAACAAAACAGGCTAGGGCAGGAGGCATCTCTTTCAGTTCTCCCTCCCTCTTTCTTTCTGAAATCAATAAAAATATATTTAAGAAAAATAGGTGTTGACCTAACAATGCTCACACTAATAAAGAAAAAAAAAAAGGATTAGAAAATAACAACAGACATCAAAAGTCACTTGTTGTTTAGTGCCACCTTTTTTTTTTTTTTTTTTTTTTTTAGGACTAGACATTTTAATAGCCCCTTGGGAAATAAAAGCACTTTTAGTGCCACCTTTCTATATCAGTTCTTAAACATGGTTAGGGGCCTTTCTGCTTGTCAGAAATGAAACCCATCACAATGAAGGTGTCCATATTTAAGGCTGAGACAAGACCTTAAACCCTGTCCAGGGGATTAGAATTCTGTTTTTCTACTGACTACAATTCTCTCAACTGTATAATAAGTAATGATCTGCAAAGTACCATTCCCTTTTATTACCAATCCCTAACACGACCTTTACCTAGTTTCAGACAATATTTGAGAACACAAGTATGTTGTTCCATGTGTATGTAAAGCGATTAAAATATTTCTGGCCTAGTCAAAGCCACTCCTCTGAGACGCTACATGTCCTGAAAGACCACCCGCAAAAGGAGTACACCTTTAAGTGTTATGTGTCACCACAGCACCGATACCTACATTCGAAAAAGGAAGTTGAAGTGCTGCTTTGGAATGACACTTGTCTTCCTTGTTACATTCCTATTACAACGCTGAAGATGAATCCCTTTTACGACTCTAGGGAAAAGTTCACTTACCCGTACTTCATTGTTTCCCCCTTATATAAAGTGGAAATAATAGCAACAAAAGCTAAACTCTTAACATACAAGTGGCCATGAAGGCCACAGCTCTTAGAGACCTCTGGAAGGAAGTTGAGAGCTTACAAAACGGCAGACAAAAGGTCAGTCAGGCTGGCTGAGGCGTGAGGCGCTATAGCATCATCATCTCAGCATGTGACTATGGCAAAGCTGCCCTCAATGTTTATTAGCGTGCTTCCTCCCAGTGGGCACTCTCAGGCCATTTGCAGAGATCAAATCAGGCCTCTGCACCCACGCCCTAAACCCTGACTCCCATCTGTACCCACAAAGGCCATACCTGTAATCGCAGAGCTTAGGCTGGCTGCCGCACTGCTGCGTGCACACCACACAGCAGCTGCACAGGGGCACGTTGCCCCGTATCCAGTGGTGGGGCATGGCGTCCAGGGCCTTGGCGTCAGGCTTGAGCACGATCTCCTTGCACGGGAAGCGCCGGTCGGCCTTCCGGAGGCAGCCCTCGTCGGCGCGCAGCCCGCAGCAGTCGCAGAAGGCGCCCCGCAGGATGTGCTGCGCGCACACGCAGCAGTAGGTGGGGTGGCCGAACAGGTCCGTGTCGTGCCAGCCGTGCTTGCTCTTGCGGAAGATGTCCCTGCGGTGCAGCTGCCGGCGCGACCGCTGCAGGCTGCACCACAAGGTGATGCACACGGGCAGCAGCACCGAGCACAGCGTCCACAGCACCAGGTGCCCGTCCGCCAGCAGGCCCGAGGAGGGCTCCGGCCGCTCCTCGCCTTCCATCGTCTCCCGGGGCGATTCCTAAGGAGAGAGATGCGCGAGGTGCGGTGCGCCTCGGGCCCCGGTGCCCGCCCGCCCTCCTCCTCCCGGCTTCCAGGCGGCACCCGAGGAGGGGGACGCGCACCTTCCTCCCCCGCGCGCGGCCCGGCCCCAGCGCAGGAGCCCCGGTTCTCCAGGCCCCGCGGACCGGCCCGCCGAGGGGGCGGCGCCCGCGCGGTCACGCTCCGCCCCGGCCTCGCCCTGCGGCCCGCGGCCTCCCCTCCCCTCGCCGGGCACGGGCGGCGCGATGGCGCACGTGGGCCGCGTGTCCGTAACCGTCAGGTTACCCCGCGCCCAGCACGGCCCCCGCCGCCCGCCCGGCCTCTGGGCCGGCTCCCCACGCACCCAGCGGCTCCAGGCCCCGCCCGCCCGCCTGCAGCGGGCCCCGCGCCCCCGCCCCTTCGACCCCGCCCTCCGCCCTCCCGCCCTCGGGCTCTACCTCGCGGGGGCCGGGGGCCAGGCCTCGGGCGCCCTCCCGCCCTCCGGCGGCCGCGGCAGGAGCCCTTTTCCGGGCTGCCCGGGGCGCCGGCGTCAGCGGAGAGGCCGAGGCGGTCCCCCGCACCCGGAGGAAGGTGGGCAGGGGCCGCGGAGGGGGCTCCGGGCGGGACGGGGCGGGGGTGTGAGGGATGACGCGCAGCCCGACAGGCCGGAGGGGGCGGGGCCGTGGGGAGGGCGGGGCCTTGGGAAGAGGGCGGGGTTGAGCAGAAGGGGCGGGTCACTGGGGGCGTGGCTTAGGGAGAACTTTGGGCGGAGTAACAAGAAGTGGGGGGGAGCCTTAGAGAGGATGGATGGTGATTGAGTCCTGTTAAGTCTGCAACCATAGAAAGTTCTAGTAGGAATGATTTACCGTATGAGTCAAGCTTATCTCAGACCTTCAACCTCCCCTCTCTCTATCTGGTGGAGGTTGGCACAGTTTTGATTGTTGGGAGAAAACTGGCAGTTTTTAAATATATATATATATATATATATATATATATATATATATATATATATATATATATATTTTTTTTTTTTTTTTTTTTTTACAGAGAGGAAGAGAGAGGGATAGAGAGCTAGAAACATGGATGAGAGAGAATCATCAATCAGTTGCCTCTTGCACACCACCTACTGGGGATGTGCCTGCAACCAAGGTACATGCCCTTGACTGGAAATGAACCTGGGACTTTTCAGTCTGCAGCCGAGGCTCTATCCACTGAGCCAAACGGGTTTCGGCAACACTGACAGTTTTGAAAGTGTCATTCTCCTATCTTATATAATGAAAAGGTAATATGCAAATTAACTCCAACAGTGGACCAACCAGAATGACCCCTCGACCAGTCTCTATGAGGCATACTGACCAACTTTAGGTTCCTTTCCCCAGCTGGCAGGCTCCAGTCGCCTAATGGCGAACAGGGACCTGGAGGTGGGTGGCTTCAGGGGACAGGGCCGGCTGTGGGCAGCCATGGATGATGGCCCTGATCACAGGCCAGGCCCAGGGACCATATGTGGGCATGAATTTTTTGCACTAGGTCTCTAGTATAATAAAAGGATAATATGCAAATAGACCGAACGGCAGAAAGACCAGTTTCTTTGATTCACACTGACCACCAGGGGGCAGATGCTCAATGCAGGAGCTGTCCCCTGGTGGTCATTGTGCTCCCACAAGGGAAGTGCCACTCAGCCAGAAGCCAGGCTCACAGCTGGTGAGCGTAGTGGCAGTGCTAAGGACCCCTCGAGGGATGTCCGCCTGCTGGCTTAGGTCTGCTCCCCGGCCTGCAGGTGGACCTCCCCTGAGAGGTCCTGGATTGTGGGAGGGCAGAGGCCAGGTTGAGAAGACCCCCTTCCCAGGGCTCTAATGTTGTGTACAGACCTCTAATATACTAATAAAATGGGATGATCCAAGTCAAACATTGAGAGAGGTCACCTGAGCTCTTATTTGTTAAACTCATACTGGCAGAAGGCTTCCTGTGTGCCAAGCGAGCACTGCCCGAGGGGCTCCAGCTCTCACAGAGTGCCAGGCCTGTGGAAACACGCCTAACAAGCATTTATCAGCCCTGTTTATAAAGCCCCGCTTCCATCTTGGCACTTGCTTAGCTCCTGGCTGAATTTATCATCCCCACTTTACAGATGAGGAAAACCAAGGCACAGAGTGGTTGAGAAACGTGCCTGATGTCACAAAGTCAGTGGGTGTTGGAACTGAGATCACTTTGTTTGAACTTGGCCACCCAAGTTACCTTCCATCTAAATTAAGCCATCCAAGCAAGACTTCCTTTATTTGGTTATTTCTCTCAGACACTTGCCACAGGGTTCTTGTTAAGGTGCAGATTTTGATTCACTTTTTTGGCGGAAAGAGGCCTGAGGGTCTGCATTCTGAACAAGTGCTGCTGGTTTTGCTGGTAGAGTGTGTAACAACCTGGATTGTGGAGGCTAAGGGGAGAGTGTGGAGAAATGGGAAAAGTGTTAGGTGGCCTGGTAAGGCCCTCACATGTCTCCATCCTCTTGTGCTGGTCAGTTCACTTCTCTGGGCTTCAGGCTTTTCACTGGTAACGTGGGAGGTTGACTGAGTTGAAGCCTCCCTTCTGTTCTGACAGCCTGCACTGTAAATGGAAATGTCATTGTCTTTTATGAATCCTAGTGGAGGCAGAGGCTTTAAGTTGGTTTGGACTTTAAAAGATAACAAAAGAATGCACTTTTTAAGAGTGAGATTTAAAAAAATCCTGTTATGAAATATTTGGAGAATATAGAAAAGTAAAAAGGAAGTAAAACACAATCATTCGTCTCTCAGCCCAAAGACAACCTATGTTTAAACATTTTGGCCTATTTTCTTCCATTGTTTTCTATGGAAACATTGGTTTGCTTTGTTGCATGTGTAATTTTGATCACATAATAGATATATTCTCTGCCTGGCTATTTTTAAATTAACATTACAAAATGACTTTTTTACACATTTTTATAAATTTGTATTTAATGGTTGCATAATATTCCATTCTATGATAGTACATAGTGTATGTTGTTAACCTTACCTCTATTATCGACTATTTAAGTTGTTTCTAACATTTTGCTATTATATATAACTCCTCTGTTTGGGGGTTTTCTTTAGAGTCTCACATTTTGCTAAAGGTATGAAACGTTTAAAGCTTATGGAAAAGTTTTTAACAAAATAGTCTCTGTTTGCCAAGAGAAAATCATCAGGGAAATTTATGTGTGTAAGGACAGATTAATAGAGATTACCGCATCTGGGGAAAACACTCTTATTCCACAAAGAATTACTATTATTAAAGGCAATAGCAATAATAATTCTTTTAAAAAATATTTTATTGATTTTTAACAGAGAGGAAGGGAGAGAGATAGAGAGATAGAGAGCTAGAAATGTCGATGAGGGAGAAACATCGGCCAGCTGCCTCTTGCACACCCCCTACCGGGGATGTGCCACAACCAATGTACATGCCTTTGACAGGAATCGAATCTGAGACTTTTCATTCCGCAGACCGACGCTCTACCACTGAGCCAAACCGGCTTCGGCTAATAATAATTCTTATTATAGCCATGCAGATCCTAGGCTCTGTGCAAAGTTTATCATCTTCATTTTACAGATGAAGACTTGCTTGATGTCACACAGCCAGGAGTCATCTGAGTTGGGGCTTTGAACCCAGCCAGTGAGATGCCAAAACCCATGATGCTCATAGCCCAGGAGGTATCGGCAGGTGGTCTTCAATCACCTGCACCAGCATCATCTGACCAGGTCTTGACCAGGTCTCCCGAATTAGAATTGTGATGGAGCCAGGAATCTATCTGCCTTCTTAACAGTTTCCCCAGGTAATTCTCTTATGTATTTATTAAAACTTTTTTGGGGGGGTTAAAATTGTGAACTATACCACCTATACAACAGATTTTACAAAACATATGCATAGTTAAAAAAAATAATAAAATAAACACCCGCGGACCCGTTACGGAGGTTAACCTTGGGAGAGGAGGAAGAGGAGGGGACAGGAAGGGGGGGTGCTGGGGAGAAGTGGGCCGGGAGGAGACCAGAGACCCAGGGTGCCCGGTACTGCCTGCTGCAGGGGCGCTGAGGAGCCCTGAGGAGCCCAGGCTCTGGGAAGAGAGGGCACACAGCAGGAAGGGGCCTCCAGAACAAGGCATGACAGTGGGCACGCTAGCGAGGAGGGGGCCATTCACACAGCTGCTGCCACTCCGTCTGTGAAGACACTGGCTCCAATTCAAAGGGAAACGGGAAACTTGCTCAGAAAAACACAACAGACACTCACACGCCGAGCCCCACAGAGTCCTGATTGTCAACATGCTCAACTCCTGCACTTGCCCGAAGGGTGATGCCATTGGTGTCTGTGTCCCAGGCTCCCTCAGTGGCTCAGTCTTATCTCTGCTTTGCAAGGCCCCTGGGACCAAAAGAGGAACAATCTGCTTCACTCAAGACAGGGGAGGACCGTGATCCTGACTTTTCCTGGCAGCCTCGGCCCCCAGAGGATTGCCCCGGGAACATCCTGAAGCTATTCGCGAGCCATCACGGCACCATAGAGTCACCTTACCTTCTCAGTTACTTGGAAAGCAGTGTCCCATTTTAAAAGTGCAATTCGATAAGTTTTGACAAATAGGTACACACCTGTCTGATCAGACAGACTTAACGTCTCCCAAATACATGCTTTCTGTGGGTTTTGATCCTGGGAGTTGAAAACATAATATTGCTGTGCGTTCCAACAGGGGAGGGAGCCACCAAGGGGACGGCCTGATGGTCACTGAAACCTTTGCTCAGTGGGACAGAGCTGGAAAGGGAGCCATGACTTAGCGAGGCCCGTTCTCCTTGTGGGTCCACATAGCTTTCCGAAGGGCCTTTTTGGGGATCAAACCCATTTTAAAGAGAAAACTCAGATCCAGGCTTCTGAATTGCTGCATCACAATGTGTTAATCGAGGTTTGCAAAAAGAATGAAGCATGTTGCCAAAATCGGTTTGGCTCAATGGATAGAGC